CATGAGGAGTTGGGCCCGCGGAATAGGACCAACCCGAGCTGCAACGTCAACAGGTTACACACATGATAGATATAAACAGGTTCGAGTACTTGTATAAATCTTATTAAGTGTAGATTTTAGATACCAGTTCAATGCACGTATTTGTGGTTCCCAGATACCACAAAATCAAAAGTTAAGAAGAACAAAAATGTTTAAATAAATTATTTCTATTGAAATCTAAAAGTTCAAAATGATTGATCACAGAATCGCAGAAAATTTGCAAAATTGTTATAAGAAATTTGCAATTTTCAGTTCTGGACTAGTTTTTACGAAAAAATTGTTTTTCAATGGTTCTTAAGGTTTTAACTGAACAGCGTATATTTAATACTTTAAAATATACTAAAAAGAAAGGAACTAAAGAATTTAAATAACTTTTCCATAAAAACAAGACCAGAACTAAAAATTGCGAATTTTCTGTGATTCTTTGATTCAATCTTTAAAAAATTCTAGATTTCGATAGAAATAATTTATATACATATTTTTGTTTTTCTTAGTATATTTTAAAGCATTAAAGTATTAATATTCTAGTGACGACTTTTTTCATTCATTGACAAACTTCCAAAAATGTTAAATATTGACATTTTTTCTTGCCAAATCATTTAAATTTTGACCTGGTCTATAAACAGACAAGCTGAATATATAAATCTACCTGTATAAGGGTAGCTACAGTCTCCTCTAGAACTGTATAAATATCATCAGCTAGACCCAACTCAACACTTTGGTTTCCACCAAAACAGGCTCCTACAATATAAAGTAAAGGGGAGATTAGTTTAAAACCAAGATTTTGCCCAATGCCTATACACTGAATATCAGATATCGTTTAAAATTGCAGGATTTTTTAAATCCAGGCCCAGAGACACAGAATATATTTTTAAGAATGCTATATTTTTATTTTTAAAACATAAAAATGTCAACTTCAACCCATTAATCAGGTATGAGGTGCAATCTTTGTTGATTCTTGATTTCATTTTCAAATATGCCACACTTTCACTAAGATTTAGACAACTCTGATGGTTAGTCATCCAATATTTTGACAGCCTCAACTTTAAAGTCTTGGCGTTTGGTTTAACCTCGCCAACTTTCCCGTGAACGCGTGCACATCTTAGCTTGCAGTGCTAAAGCAAAATTAAACTTTGATATAATTTGATTTTGAAATAAGACCTAGATTTCCAAAACGCGACCAAAATTCACATTCGTAAATATGTACGTGAATGGAAAAGATTACAATGTCTTAAAAACAGTCAGGTTTTTTCTTCTTTAAGAGTAATTGAAAAATTTCAATAATTGTCCTTGTGACCTTGTCATACTTAATGAAGCATTGATAATAGTTTTTTATAAACCGGGTCTCTTTGCACAAATATCTTAAAATTATAATCTTTCAATTTGTGTCGAAACTTAGCGTGAGGAATGGGTTAATTCCCATCCCGGATTTTAAATAATGTTCCCTGTAGAAAAGGCGAAAGTATATGTCTAAGATAGACTGAACTTATTACATTATTGGATTACTGTTAACCAATTTGCTTCAAATTTTGGTTGGGGAACTAGAGAGAATCGCATTAATATTTTTAACTTGGGTTGAAAATTCTAAGTTAAGCGGGTTGACTTTTATAAAAAAAAATCCAAGCAAAGCTGTGTTCCCAAGCTAGTATACCTGAGAATACATTAGTTTTTGTATTACTTCTGATCTTTCCTCCTCTCCTAGATTCAACCCACTTTATAAACTCCTGTTATAATTTAGAAAATATTATTAAAATAGTATTTATTCTAATCTAACACATACTTATTTGCGGATTCCATTAGCGCCTGATCCAATCAGGGTTAATGCATGTCTTTGATGTCTATTCTGAACTAATAGAAATAGTATGGTGATTGGTGGTAACATCTATATTTTTCTATCTCTCTCATTACAGATTATTACAGATATGAATCCTTTAATCGGCGCTAACAGTAAATATCTACTTCTTCTGAAACTATAGTGATCAAATATTATTAGAAAAATGTCAAACCAAATTTTAAATTTTGATATCTTTGCAAATAAAAGTTCTGTTTATCTAAATAAATATATATATTTTCTGCATAAATCATGAACCCCTGGACCGATTTGCCTCAAATATTGATTGGGGTAAACAGCAGAAACTTGAGAAGTTAAAACAAATCTGAGTTGACTGGATTGACTCCAAAAAACACCAAACAAAGATTAGTTTCCAAGCTAGGCAATGTATAAAATCTACGTATAGTCTAGTTTAACGTAAAAATAATCAATTTTCAAAAAGAAAACTTACGGTTTAGAAAACTGGAATTTCATCTGGAGGATAAACTTTCAAATAGAAAACTGATCATATAAACATTATTGCTGAAGCAATGGACATTAAACTTATGAGTATATATTAATATATTTAAAGTATATAGTATATATATATATATATATATGAGCGATTGCCTTTAATTTTGATTAGGGATGAGTTTGTTGAGTTTTCAGAGTCTAAGTTGAGTGGGTCAATTTTAATTGCAAAAATTAGTTTCCCCGTAAAATCTATTTTAAGATCTAGATATTTATAATGTATCGAGGTTATATTACAAAATTGTTTATATGGATTTAACAAAAAAACTATTTTACGATAGTATCGTGTTTCCCCGTAAAATCGACCACGTAAAGGAAAACGGCGGGAGTATCTTTAGATAACCTGGGCAAGACTGGGTTCCTAAGCTAAATTTATATTGAACCTGATGAGAATATTTATATTAAACCTGATGAGTATATTTATATTAAACCTGATGAGTATATTTATATTAAACCTGATGAGTATATGTATATTAAACCTGATGAGTATATTTATATTAAACCTGATGAGTATATGTATATTAAACCTGATGAGTATATTTATATTAAACCTGATGAGTATATGTATATTAAACCTGATGAGTATATGTGAGAAGATTGTTTATATCCTGTTCCTCCTCCTCGGACATCTGAACCAAAGGGTTCGGTCCAGCTTTCCTAGAACCTAGAGACAGATATTTTATAAAGCCTTAAAGGGAGTGTTCACGAAAATTAAAGAGGCTAAAGTCGAATCGAATTCGATGGTAATCGCTACTAATCTTACTTATATCTGTTGCGCCCATAGAGAAAAGGGTTAAAAACTACAGTTGTTTACAAATGATCTTAGAACTCATATTAATATTTTAAAGATTTACAAATATGTCGCTCCATGCTGAAACTTTCTAAAAAAAAACAAGCCAAGGTGCGTGAAAAAAAAATTTATAGCACCTAAAGATAATATGTTCTGAGAAAATACTTTTTGATTTCAGCAGTATATAAATCGGCCAAAAAAAGAATACTTGTAAAATCAAATTCAGGTCAAAATTTTTCAGAAACCGCACAGCGAGAAAGTTTAAAGATTATTTCAATGCGCTATATACTATTTAATTAGCTTTAGACTAGTGGCCTAAAATGTACGTATTTATCTTCATATGTATTTGACAACGAGGTTATAATATATAGAGTGATGATGTACGCTAATCCTTTACTAATTGTACAGGCTATGTACTTCACTTCCAAAGGTCAATCTGTATATTTATACAGTACCCGGGGGTGAATTCTGAAAATATCTAAATGGAGAATTGTTTTCCATTAAAATCCACTACCCTTTATCTTATGCAGGATTACATTTTCACAGGAAGACAAACCATTACAGTCTTTTACAGAGCAATATTTCATCGTTAATAAACGGTTCTGAGAAAACTGAGTAATATTTAAAATACAAAACCTCCCCGTTACGCTTGTATTCCGAAAGCGTACTGCATATTTGATGTTTGCACTGTATCATCAGGCCATAATCTCTTAATATCCTATATCAGTAAACTATCCCAAGTGTACACTCAGGCCAATACACACGGAGAGGTAGCTAAGATCCAGCCCCCTTTGAATATTATATAAAAATCCAATGAAAATGTAAGGAAAGTAAAAAGCTGTTACCTGCTGTGTACAGTTTGGGTTCTATTCCAATCTTCTGAAGAAGAGGCACCGCTGAAAAAGTCGTCATCACAGCCCCGATACTTCCAACTATAAAACAAAGAAATTTAATTAAAATTTTTGGTGGCAAACATAAAAATGAAGTATTTATGACGTATTCTAAATTCGAAATAAAAGCTTGTTACCTAATGAAAATCTTGAAACATAAATCAATTCTGCTGCACAAGCAATTAGATATCCTCCAGAGGCTGATATGTCCTCGATAAAAGCATAGACAGGCGTATTTCTTGAGTCACTGGAATAACGAATGTAGTCTGCGATGAGTTGGCTTTGAACAGGAGAGCCCCCGGGAGAGTTTATAACCAGGCAGACAGCTTTCAAATTTTCCAAACAGAATGCCTCGTCGATTTGTCGTCTAACAGTATTGTAGCTGATACCAGCACTGGAACCTATTTCTCCTTTAAGATGAATCAACGCAATAGTTGGAGTAGCTTCCTTCCTGAAAAACATTTCAACTTCGCTGATTTTAGAAAATGTATTCGCGGATTTCTAACATTGAGTTATCAATATGTACACTGCACAGTGTGCTTATAGGGCTGTCAAGGAAATTCCCACTGAGGATTATTTCAGATTTATATTCCACTTTTCAATATGAAAAATTTGAAATATTCCACAACTTTTTCCGAAACTTCCAGGCGTACAATTTATATTTTCGTCAGGACAGTTTTATGGGCTGATTAGTTAAAAACAACACACATTGGTCTCTGACATAATATGCTCTTTAGAAAATCTGAATTTAGGTGAGGTTAAAAACAACTTTATTTTTTGAGGGGGGAGGGGACGGCACTTTCGGAGGGAAGTAAGTAGCATATATTTTTTGTTTTTATTAATTGTTTCTTATGTTTTAGCAAAATTTAAAATATAACACGTGGGAATTAAGGTCGTCCGTACGATTTGTTTGGTAACGATCTGCCCGTGTTGTACTATCCATGAATAAGATACTGGAGAGCCTAAATCGTATTCAAAGATACCTTTACAGGTTACAGTGAACGCTCAGTCTCCTGCAGTTGGTCGAACAGTTCTGAGTGAACAGTTGCCATTCACTACACAGTACAAACAGAGTTAAAAGTTTAAAGACAGGGTTATTCACAAAGGATGAGACTTCAGAGACGACTGTACGGAATTTATACTATTAATTTATTTATATTCACGATTCTCTGCAATCGTAAACTTGTTTCTTTCTTTGATAAATCATTATAAAGACCTGTAATAAATATAAAAATAGAATAGAATTGTTCGTTTATTTAAAGTTTATCCGGCTATATAGGATAAAAGCTGCAAAGTCTATGGTTCAGACAGAAAACTATAATTTTACCTTGCAATTGTGATATTTTAAAAGGTCTTATTTTAAATAAATGTAGGATACAAGCATAAAAGGAGATTTTCTGTATAAGGGGGGAGTAGTAGTGTTTTTTAAATTTAATCCAGATAAAATCTTCTGTTTAAAATTGTTCTTTAAATCTTGTTTTTATCAAATTCTAATCAGAAATCTAACATTGTACAGGGTGTCCCAATAAACATGGGAATTCAGTGACGAATTCAATTTTGTCTTTTAAAATAATTTAATTTAGTAATACAATACATACTGAGAAAGCTGTAATCTGTAAGATTTTCGTCTGCTATGTTCACAATTTGTTTGTTTATGTTTTGACTGCATACGGTTGTACTTAGTTAAAAAAGAAAATTGCAGTATACAAACAGAGTAAACTTGTCCGTCTTCACTGTTCATCTTGCGGAGACATCGTATACACATCTTTACAACCATTTACCGTTTTCATAAAATAACTCTAGCAGACATAATAATATTATGGCTTTTGAAATTAGGTATTACAATGCTAATTCATAACAAAGACGATTTTCAATTCGTCACTGAATTCCCATGTTTATTTGGACACCCTGTACTTAATCTTGTATTTGTAACATATCTCCAGACATTACATTAGACAGATTTAATTTGTCTTATCTTTCAATTAAATACATAAATTCATAATCTATATTTTCAGTTTGACAATTTTATTCATCAGATGATTGTCTAATTGGGTAATATCAAAGAATTATTTATACACTTTTCAACAAACGTTAAAAACATTTTCTATATGAATTTTGATATTTTTGTTTGTAGTTTCTCTTTAAAAGCTTATTGCGGATTTTTTGCAGCTGCAGGGTTGAAGACGAAATGTAAAGAATTATTAAATATTATAATTATTATAACTAGATATTTTTAACCCAATATTCTCCTTAATAAAAAGTTTGTCAACAAGCATTATTTATTCAATAGAAATACTTAATGTTTTTTGCTGCTTTTGAAAAATAATAAAAATTAGAAAAATATAATTTACGAAGGCTTTTTTATGTTGAAAGCTAGGATTTTTTACATTTATATCGTGATTCCGTCTTTAACAAATTTAGAGGAAATGAATTTTATTTTTATGATTATAATAGCCCACGAGAACTATCTTAAATACATATTTTTTTGGAGTTGATAGAAATCAGTCATGATTTCGTCTAATTTACGGGGGTATTATATCAAAATGGGAGAAGGGGGGTCGTGAGGGGGGGGGGTCATGTGCGGAAGTGGTTTCCTCCTCTTGTAAATCTAAAAAAAAGATGATCTTGGATATCTATTGATATTGGATTTAAAAGGTTCTATATTTGCATAATTGTACAGGATGTCCCAGGAAACATAACAGTTGGTGAATAGTTTAAAATGTCTTCTTCCATAACTTGATAAGTTGTTTGATATTAAAGAGACTAATAACATTTTTTATATGACAGTTATATTATAGTATATATATGATTTGGACATTTTCTTTACATAAATAAACTACGAAAAGTCTTTGATATCTGATATAGTATGTGGAAGAAGACATTGAAAACTATTCATGTTTCATAGGACACCCTGAATAATATTTTTAGAAAAAGATGGAGTTTAAAGATACAGTCTGCATTATCACAGGTAGATACTAGATTTGAATTTAAACTGAGAATTGGACACAATTTTGTATTCAACATGATAAACATACAGAGCAAACCAATAAATGAAAATTTCAAAAACTTTTGAAATTTTCTGTCATGTTCAATACTTACCATTACAGGTCGATCTTTCAAGCGAATAGGGCCATTGTGCAGATTTATCTACATGTACGCATGTACAGCTCCTTCCAACAGAGTTGTACGCATGTACAACTCCTTACAAGTACATTGTACAGGTTCTTTTGGCGAGCTGGGTCATTGTTTTCTATTTATGTATGTAGTAAATACCCTACTCCATAAATTGCTTTTAGACCCGAATCTATCCAGTTACAATTCAGTTTCTCTTAACTATCAATGTCTAAACCCGGTTACAATCTTGTAACCTATTAATGCCAAACCACCGGGCACGATCTCATGAGCTATCGATGTCAACCAGACACTAGCTCATATTCTATCAACGCTAAACCAATGGGCGCAATCTTGTCAGCTATCAATGTCAACACAGACACTAGCTAGTAATCCATCAATGCCAAATCACTTGTTTATCTATCTATGTACATTGTACAATGTACACTTGTATGGGTTCTGCTGGCGGGTTGGGTCATTGTTTATCTATCTATGTAAACTTGTATAGGCTCTGCTGGTGGACTGGGTCATTGTTTATCTATCTATGTTCACTTGAATACGCTCTGCTGGCGGGCTTGGTCATTGTTAATCTACCTATGTACACTTGAATAGGTTCTGCTGGCGTGCTGGGTTTTTGTTTATCTATCTATGTACGCTTGTATAGGTTCTGCTGTCGGACAGGGTCATTGTTTTTCTATTTAAGTACACTTATATAGGTTCTGCTGGCGGGCTGGGTCGGGCATTTGCTGAAAAATTACTGGAAAGGGGATCTTTAGTCTGTATATCAGATATTAAGGTCTAATGTATCCTTGTATATCAGATATTAAGGTCTAATGTATCCTTGTATATCAGATATTAAGGTTATTTTTAAACAATATCTCAGAAATATAATATTAAAAACAAAGAATGAATGCTGTGGCCAAATCTGAAAAAAAATCACATAAAACTTGTCTTTTCTTCTGTAGAAAAATGATATATTTAAAAATCAACAATAGATGGCCATATCAAATATTTTATAATACAGCTTGTATTAATTTTCTGGAAATAAATGCGTGAAAATATGAAAACTAAATAGGTGAAAATATGAAAACTAAATAGGTGAAAATATGAAAAATAAATACGTGAAAATATGAAAAATAAATACGTGAAAATATGAAAAATAAATGTGTAAAAATATGGAATTTATGTTTAGGTAGAACTTGGGGAGTCCACACTTGATGAATTAGCGAGGTAAATCTGATTAAACTTAATTTAAAGAACTTTCATTTCAAAAACTTAAAACTAAGAATTTGCTCAGCTCGGAAAATTAAAACTAAGAATTTGCTCAGCTCGGAAAATAAAAACTAAGAATTTGCTCAGCTCGGAAAATAAAAACTAAAAATTTGCTCTGCTCGAAAAATTTAAATTTAGAATTTGCTCAGCTCGGAAAATAAAAACTAAGAATTTGCTCAGCTCGGAAAATAAAAACTAAAAATTTGCTCTGCTCGAAAAATTAAAATTTAGAATTTGCTCTGCTAGAAAAACAAAAACTAAGAATTTGCTCTGCTCGAAAATAAAAATTTAGAATTTGCTCTGCTCGAAAAATTAAAATTTAGATTGCTCGGCTCGAAAAGCAAAAACTAAGAATTTGCTCTGCTCGTAAATAAAAATTTAGAATTTGCTCTGCTCCAAAAATTAAAATTTAGAATTTGCTCTGCTCGAAAAATAAAAACTAAGAATTTTCTCTGCTCGAAAAATAAAAACTAAGAATTTGCTCCTCTTAAATATTAAAATTTAGAATTTGCTCTGCTCGAAAAATTAAAATTTAGAATTTGCTCTGCTCCAAAAATTAAAATTTAGAATTTGCTCTGCTCGAAAAATAAAAACTAAGAATTTGCTCCTCTTAAAAATTTAAATTTAGAGTTTGCTCTGCTCGAAAAATAAAAACTAAGAATTTGCTCTGCTCGAAAAATAAAAACTAAGAATTTGCTCCTCTTAAAAATTAAAATTTAGAATTTGCTCCTCGGAAAAACCTAAGTTCCTTTAGTCTAAGTTAATGGGTGTTTGCTCTAGGGAATATGGAGAGGATAAGGTTATATTTCAGCAATGTGACGTCACAAACCAACAGAGTGTTAGGTAACAAACTAATCACTCTCCTTTATGAAATTACAGACATTTATCTGAGCAGATTGAGGAAGTTTCTAGTAGAAAAATAAGGATATCTCATCCAATTTACCGTATTTTGTTGCTAATTCAAGAATTTTTTATTTTTTACAGAAAATCATTTTAAATCCATATGGCCTAAATTTTTTATCTACACAGTTTCATTTTAAGTCCCAATAATTTCATGAATTCATTTTCCATCCCAAACAGCCATTTTGACCCCTGTATTAAATCTGTTTTTGTATTACAAGCTTTTTGTTGAATTTGATTAAGTTCTTGGAGGAAAGTTTGAAATTAAGTTGATTTTTACCCAAGTGCTAAGTAATGCATTCAAAAAGATTAGATAACCCTATATATAGATTTTATCTTAGAGGATTTAAAAATTTAAACGGAAACTTTGGAAAAGTTGAGAAAATACAAATTTTTATCAAAACCTGGATTAAATCGATAATCTGTCAAAAACTTCTAATATTAAATTTTAAAAATGTTCTTAAACAATTTTAAAAAAGTCTATTGATAAATAAATATCTTAATCTTCTTAAAAAGAATTCCTGCTTATGCTTGATTCAAAAATGTTTATCACAAACTAAACTTTTCTAATTTTCAATATCTTTGCATCTTGATTTGGTAAAAAGAGTTAGAGGCGAGAAATAATTTTATAAATTTATAATTTGTCACATGTTACATTTTAGTAAATATATATTTAATAATTTCATGATAAATATCAAGTTTAATAATTAAATATTTTCAGAGAGTTGTGGACGTTTACCGAATCCAAGTTTAAGAAAAAGGTATTTTTTGTCCAGTATTTATAAAGTTTAATTCTTGTTTTGAAAGAATCTAAAAGTGGAGAAACAAGAAAACAAACTTTTAACTTATTTTTCTTTGAACTTGACACAAACTTAAAAAAGCAAGCACTTATTTTCATTAATATATTTTTTAAATCAAAGCTTCTTAAAGTGATTTTCGGCGTTCAATGGTTCTTTCACTTTTAAACCTGTAAACCTTTGCCGTAGGCTCTAATCATGCAACAGAACGGAAGAAAGCGGTGTTTTTTTATCTGGCTAATTTTCAGATTAAAATATCTTAAATAGCTGTTTCGTTGGCTCAGGCGGAAGTTCGAAGGATGCCGTTCGAAATCAGACATTGCACATTGCACATTGCACATTGCACATTGCACATTTCAATTCATATTTCAATCAAATTTTGTAAATTACAAATATATATTTTTTTTATTTATGACTTAAACCGGTTTTTTGTTGAAGGTTGGTTGTTTTGTAAACAATGCTGGAGTGATGGGTGAGAAGGAAGGATGGAAACTATGTATGGAAATTAATCTGACTGGGGTTATGAACGGGGCTACACTAGCTATGGAGATTATTATCCTTATAATGATCAGGAAAAAGTAGGGGAGGAGAAGGAGGTGTAATTGTTAATATTGCTTCAATCCTGGGACTGTTCTGCGCAGAACAACCGAAGGTTTGTATTTACTAAAGAATAGATGGGAACAAGAACATTAAGCTTAGATTAAAGAATAGACTAGAGATTTTAACAAAAGATTTAGTAAAGATTAAAGAATAGACTAGAGATTTATAACAAGAAATATTTTTTTGCACTTATAAAATTTTCTTTATTTTTTCCTTTTGCAGTGTTTTTTTATTAATGTTAAAGATTTTGTTTTAAACCGGAGAACGTAGGAAGAAGGTTTGCGGTTAAAAGGAGGGAATATTTAATGGGAGATAATGGAAAAATAATATAGCGTCCTTATTAATCCCTCTCGAAAATTAACTACTACTTTTGCAAAGGGATAATTTCTAATGAGGAAAAATATGCGTAATTTATGTCTGAGCTGTCTACTTTATACACTAGTTTTCTGATATTTCAAACTAAGACTAATTGCTATTACAGACTGTATAGTTTAAAATATTAAAGGTTCATGCAGAACATCGGGTTGCTGAGATAAAGGAATCAGAAAATTTCAAAAACTCAATTTCTTCATTCAGTTTTATATTAGAATTATCCAGTTTTATATTAGAAATTCAAAATATTCTCGAATTCTTCTAAATAGTTCTTCAATAAGAGGAATTATTACATGGAATTTACTTTAATTGGACGTAGAGTGGAGATACTTTGTTGTTTAGGGGTTTCAGTACAACACTAGTAAGAGTGCAGTAGTAACCCTATCCAGGTGTATGGGTAATAAGGTATTTAGTAATTCTATCTTAATCTATTCTACACTCAGAACAAGGAAACTCGTCCTTGTTCTTCCTTAAAGGGAGTGTTTGCGAAAAATGAGAGGGGGTATAGGCTTAATGCGATAAAAAAGCGCTTTTGATCGCTACTAATCTTACTTCTATCTGTTGCGTCTATAAGGAGAAAATTGTTAAAGACGTCTCATACCGAAGAACACAGCGCCTTTACAAATTGAGGAAATTGCAACATAGGACTTAGACCGTAAAAAAATCAATTTAATTTTAAACAAATCATTCAGATATTACAACCCATAGTCATCGATTATCTTTCGCCACATTTGTATATAGTTTATATTTTATAATATTTTTTAAATCATTTTTTTACATTTACTTTTTTAGAAAACGTTTTTAACGGATTTCGAAAAATGTGAGTGGTGCGTGGCATTCTTAGATAGTTGCGCAAGCGACAAGAGAAATAATCAAATTCAAAACCAATTAGTTAAAAAATATTTTTTAAATATCCTCGAAGGAGTAAATAACAGTCGGCTCTGCAAAACCAACTTTTAAAAAATGTCTATTTCTATAAATATCTACAGATGTCTTTGTCTATGAATATATATTTAGAGCTACTATGTCTATGTATCTATGTATATATAGAGCTACATATGTCTATGTATTTATGTATATATAGAGTTACTATGTCATGTTTATATGCATATCTAGAGTTACTATGTCTATGTATCCATGTATATATAGAGTTACTATGTCTATGTGTCTATGTATATATAGAGCTACTATGTCTATGTGTCTATGTATATATAGAGTAACTATGTCTATGCATCTATGTATGTAAAGAGTAACTATGTCTATGTATCTATGTATATATATATATATATAGAGTTACTATGTCTATGTATATATGTATATATAGAGTTAGTATGTACATGTATCTATGTATATATAGAGTTACCATGTCTATGTATCTATGTATATATATAGAGCTACTATGTCTATATATCTATGTATATCTAGAGCTACTACGTGTCCATATCTAGAGCTACTATGTGTCTATATCCAGAGCTACTATGTTTCTATATCTAGAGCTACAATGCGTCTATATCTAGAGCTACTATGTGTCTATATCTAGAGCTACTATGTGTCTATATCTAGAGCTACTATGTGTCTATATCTAGATCTACTATGGGACTATATCCAGAGCTACTATGTGTCTATATCTAGAGCTTCTATGTATATATATCTAGAGCTACTATGTGTCTATATCTAGAGCTACTATGTGTCTATATCTAGAGCTACTATGTGTCTATATCTAGATCTACTATGTGTCTATATCCAGAGCTACTATGTGTCTATATCTAGAGCTACTATGTGTCCATATCTAGAGCTACTATGTGTCTATATCTAGAGCTACTATGTGTCCATATCTAGAGCTACTATGAGAAGGAGAGGGTCCGTGTCTTATGTCTGTGTCCATCAGTAGCCCAGACTCCTATACTGTCTGGATGTACTGATCAGGAGATTGCAACTATGAGTAAAGATGTAGGAAAGGAATCCATCAATCATATTTAATTGAACAACTTTCTTACGTTTGCGTGGATTTCAAAAAATATGTTTAATATTTTCTTCGCTTAAATTGGGCAAATAAATGATTTTAAGGTAAAAGAAATATTATAAAGGATGAACAAGTTTGCCTTTCGTTGTCAATTTTATCATTTGTTCCCCATTTCCTAATTTATTAAAATTCTTTTAATAATAGATACACCTCTTGGGCCGATTATAAATTAAGCACATCATAATAACGTTTAAAGAAAAGTAAATCATACAGTATGTCCCAAAAAACATGGGCATTCAGTGATGAATTCGATATCGTCTTTGTTTTGAATTAGCATTGTGATCTAAATTCAAAAGCCATATTATAATTATATCTGCTAGAGTTTATTTTGTGAAAACGGTAAAAGACTGTAAAGATGTGTCTACTAGACAAACAGTGAAGACGGACAAGTTTACTCTGTTTGTATACTGCAACTTTCTTGTTTTACAAGTACAAACGTAAGCAGTCAAAACATAAACAAACAAATTGTAAACATAGCAGGCGAAACTCTTACAGATTACAGCTTTCTCAGTATGGTATACTTAATCAAAGAATTATTTTAAAAGACTGTATCGAATTCGTCACTGAATTCCAATGTTTATTGGGACACCCCTTAATTATTATTGGTTCTTATTGATTTATTCCTTGTGTTCCGCATATTTGATAAATTGATGGATGGATATTTGAAGGCGGCATCATGAGCCCAGGTATTTGAAAAAAATATATTTTTATTATATCTTCTTTAGCTCAAGATGAATTGCAGAATACACGGATGTTTGCACTTGTTTTAGATTTTATATTTTGCATTTTTTCAAGGTTTTCTTTTGATTGCGAGTTAAATTTTTTGCTTCTGCATTCAACAAAAGATAAAAAGAAACTCTATTAAGTTTAATAATTGGAGTGAGGTTGTATTTTCAAGTGTTTCTACTGTAGTATCCTTAAACTACTGTACAACGGTATCCTTAAACTACTGTACAACGGTATCCTTAATCTACTGTACAACGGTATCCTTAAACTACTGTACACAACGGTTTCCTTAAACTACTGTACAACGGTATCCTTAAACTACTGTACAACGGTATCCTTAAACTACTGTACAACGGTATCCTTAAGCTACTGTACAACGGTATCCTTAAAAGTTTAATCTGGGCACAAATGTGGAATTAATATCATCGTTTTTTCTTTAAAGGGACTGTAAGCGTAATTTCAAGATGTGGAAGATACCGTCGTTTTTAATGGTTTCACCATAGCTCAAGTCCCTTTTGTAGAGAACCCGCCAATACAAATGAACAGTTTATAAACAAAAACATGGATACTTGATTAGACAAAGGCTTTTAAGCATACTGTTGTAAAACGGACATTGCAAGAAAAACTTTTTTTTTACAGATTCATATTAAATCCTAAAAATAAAAAATGGGAATGAATGTAATAAAAATTTATATTTGTGTTAAATTATTAATTCACAGTTCTTGGCAGAAATTTATTTTCTATTGCAAATGATTGTTCTGTAAATCCTTCGGATCTTAGTAAAATGTTAGTTAAGAAACAAATGAAATATTTTGATGTCCCATTAGAACATGAATGGAAAGTTCCGGTTTTACAAGAACTTTTAAATACAAGAATGAATAATTTATATGTTGTAGGGTTCGATGATTATACGTAATAACTGAAATGATAAATATGTTATGTAATGAGTAATGATCCATGTTGTCTATTTGTGGATAATTTTGCATATTTTTCTCTTTTCTTTTGGAAACCCGTATTTTCAAAAATTTATTTAAACAAATTTAGACTACACCATTTATATATGTATTTATATCTTTGTTTGTGAATAAATCTTTATAATAATGATTTTCTATTTTCGTATGTGAATTTAGATCATGTGGCGAATGCATTTATATCTCTGTTAGAGGGAGGGAAATCTGGTGAGGTCATGGCGGTTTGGGTCAACTCGCCTCCTTACTATATTCCAGGTACATTTCACTTTTTATTGTCAGTGAGCCTTCACTTTCAAGTCTGTGACTTAATTCCGACGCAGTTTTTAAACTGGAATATGTATCTAGGTACAGTAATATATCTAGATACTGGAACATGTATCTAGATACAGGAATATATTCAAATACTAGAATATTTATCTAGATAATGGAATATATATCTAGATACAAGAATGTATTTTAATACTGCAGCATATATCAAGATACTTGAAAATATACATAGATACTGGTAAATATATCTAGATGGTGGAATATATATATATCTATATACTGGAATACATATCTAGATACTGGAAAATATATATAGATACTGGAATATATTTCTAAATGCTGGACTATATATATATATAGATACTGGAATATATATAGATACTTAAAAATATATCTAGGTACTGGAAAATATATCTAGATACTGGAACATATATCTAGATACTGGAAAATATATATAGATACTGAAAATATATTTAGATACTGGAATGGCTCTGTTTATCCTATTTACAACCTGTGCAATGATTCTGTCCTGGGTACCAGGGGTTAAAACTGTCAGGTAAGAACGATACAGGTAGTTTATACAAACATGATACAGGTAGTTCATAGAAACATGATACAGGTAGTTTATAAAAACACGATAAGGTAGTTTATAAAAACATGATACAGGTAGTTGATACATACAGGTAGTTTATATACACATGGGACAGGTGGTTTATGTAACATGATACAGGTAGTTCATACAAACATGATACAGTAGTTTATACAAACATGATACAGGTAGTTCATACAAACATGATACAGGTAGTTGATACATACAGGTAGTTTATATAAAAATGATACAGGTAGTTTACAGAAGCATGATACAGGTAGTTTTTTACAAACATGATACAGGTGGTAATTGGCAGATGGTTTCATGATTACAATATGTTTAGGAATTGGCACATGGTTTCATGATTATAATATGTTTAGGAAATGGCACATGGTTTCATGATTATAATATGTTTAGGAATTGGCAGATGGTTTCATGATTATAATATATTTAGGAATTGGCAGATGGTTTTGGTGATTTGCGGGATTCTGTTCTCCTGGTATTTGACAGGATTACTTCTTTCAGCTGTTTATAGTTTTATTTTCTAGATTTTATTGTAACAACCAGATTACTTGTGTTACATTGTAATTATCTGGTTACTATTTTGAATATCGAGTTAATCATGTTAACTCCTGATATCTTGAAAACTCATAATAGTAAAATCTTGATAAATCCTGATATCTTGATAACTCCTGATATCTTGTTAACTTCTGATATCTTTATAACTCCTGATATCTTGATAACTCCTGATACCTTGATAACTTCTGATATCTTGATAACTCATGATATCTTGATAACTCCTGATATCTTGATAACTCCTGATATCTTGATAACTCCTGATATCTTGTTATCTCCTGATATCTTGTTATCTCCTGATATCTTGATAACTCCTGATATATTGATAAATCCTGATATCTTGATAACTCCTGATATCTTGATAACTCTTGATATCTTGATAACACCTGATATCTTGATATCTCCTGATATCTTTATAAATTCTGATACCTTGATAACTCCTGATATCTTGATAACTCCTGATATCTTGATAACTCCTGATATCTTGATAAATCCTGATATCTTGATAACTCCTGATATCTTGTTAACTCCTGATATCTTGATAACTCCTGATATCTTGATAACTCTTGATATCTTGATAACTCCTTATATCTTGATAACTCTTGATATCTTGTTAACTCCTGATATCTTGATAACTCCTGATATCTTGATAACTCCTGATATCTTGATAACTCCTGATATCTTGATAACTCCTGATATCTTGATAACTTCTGATATCTTGATAAATCCTGATATCTTGATAACTTCTGATATCTTGATAACTGCTGATATCTTGATAATTATATTATCTGTTCAGTGGATATTTTAAAATCGAAGTATAAAATCTTCGTTAAGATTAAACACTGAAATGAAATTCAGATAATTCTGTTCACAATTAAAGAATCAATATTTTGCTCGAAAAAAATATAAACATTTTCATACAAATTTATATCAGTAAAACACAACAAATTTACTTAACTTAAAAACTTTATTTTCACAGAATAATTGTTTCATGCATCTCTGGATGCAATCTTTTGTATGTTCAAAATACAGGGTTACCCACAAAAAACGAGACTCAGTTTTATAATATCTTCATTTATAAGTCTGCTAAATGATTGAGCAAGAAAGAAAAATTTTAAGCTACAGCGAACTATCACTGTAAGAGAAAAACTGATAGAATTCTATGTAGTCTTCTGTTAAGTCTCATCCTTTATGGTTATCCCTGTATAATATGTGTGAATGTAAATATATATAAATATTTTTATAGATGTTATATGCATATAATGATGTATCAGCAAATCTCTTGATCATATCGTATCTTGAACCCTGGACCATGATGTTCTAAATATTAAAACTAAATTGTACTTTTCTTTTCAAAAATATTAAAAAAGTGAACTGAAATGCAATGTCATCAACAGCTTTTACTTGCTTCTGGAAGTATTTTTTACATTTCTTGATTTCATTTGTACAAATGTACACAAAAGCAATCTTCTATATAATAACCGATTGGGCTGAATTTTTTTGTGGACACTGAGGGGTGGCCGGGGGGTGTTATAGGTTAAACAAATTTGTAATGTTTTTTTTAAATTTTTTAATTTTTCAAATTATTCATTTCTTTTAAAAATTATTCTTTTTTCCACGGGAAACTTCGGGCCTTTCAGCTAGTAGCTCTTAAAGTTTAAACCATTTTTGCCTGCAGAAATTGTAATTAAAATATACATTTAAAAACTATACGATATCAGGCTGCATGGATAAAATGGTTACAAATTTTAAAAAAATTATGGCGAGTAATTTGTTCCTTTGTTTTCAAAACATAATTAACAATGCAGTTTCAACAATCAGATTTGGATTTGATATGTTTACAATTTAGCATAATATCCCTGGTATATATTGATGTTTAGGACTCGAACTATGAAACTCAAGGTACACTATTCTACTGTAGATCTCGCTGATCACATATCCTAAAACACACTCTTTTTATGTCATCTGATTTTTCTAAAAACATAAAAAAATTAATTCTCCTGTTCCGTCAATTCAGAAGAACATAATGTCATTTATAAAATATCTGCTGAGCTAGCATCATGACTAGTTTATTTCAACTATTGGGCCAAATCTCAATTGCCAGATCAAGCTGTACAGTAGAAACAGTACAGTACAATAGACAGTTTATGGCACATAGGATGGTACGTCAAATGAATGATCCCCTTCTAGTGAAATATATGCGATGCTGTTCTGTAATAAATATCGGGTAGCACAATATTTGGTAAACCTGAAGTACGTTGTACATTATTAACTATTTACGTTTGTAAAATTTTACGTATAACCAATATTCATTTGAACTACGCATCAAATAAATATGTAGCATGATAAGCTTGATTATGTTATATACCATATATGTAATGACGTACATCTTAATTGCGCCTATTTCAACTGTGCTGCAATATGTAACATGATTGCCTCAATCATTTGATATAGATAATGACGTAGGAATTGTAATTACATCTATTAACTTTAACTTGTAACATATAAACCTCAGATACATTAGTTGATATAGAGACTCTGCTTTGATTACAGTGTTGAGAGCAATATGGTTTCGTTGAAACATACAAACTGAAGATTGTGCCTAGAGTTTTGCCATTGATAGTTACATGCTTGTGTCCATGGAGAACATTGATAGCTGATCGCGCCCATTGGTAGAGGCATTGATAAATCAAGGGATTGTAGCTGTGTGGATTGTGTCCTAGTTGAGACATTAGTCGATTAATTTCTTGTGTCCTTGTTGACATCGATAGCTAACAAGATCGCGCCCAGTGGTAGTGGCCTTGATAGTCATTATCCGTGTGGATTGTGGCCTGGTTGAGGCATTAATCAATTAATTTCTAGTGTCCTTGTTGGCATTGACAGCATACAAGCTAGTGTCCGGTTTACATCAATCGCTCATGAGATCACGCCCAGTGGTTTTGCATTGATCGATTAATAGCTAGTGTCTGTGTTGACATCAATGGCTAAGGAGATCGTGCCCAATGGTAGTGGTGTTGATAGTTCACGGGATTGTAGCCGTGTGGATTGTGTCCTGGTTGAGGCTTTGATAGTTTACAGTATTGTGGCTGTGTGTTGACATTGATAGTCAAGAGAATCTGAGTTGTATCTGGATAGATGTTGTAAACAACTACTTCATAACAAGTTGTCGAATGTATCTTTCCAGGTACAATCCGTCGGCTATCAAACTCAACCAGGACTGAATTCCAGGCTCATAAATGCCACACAGGGACACAAGGGTAGCTATCAAAACCCAGCTACTAATACAGTACTCAACCAGGGTTGTATCCCAGGCTCTAGATGTCACACAAAGACACAAGCGTAGATGGCTCAGTTTCATTTGCCATAATATTTTTGCCAGTATTACACTTGCCATAATACTTTTGCCATAAGTAACACTTGCCATAAGTTACACTTGCCATAAGTCACACTTGCCATAAGTTACACTTGCCATAATGGTTACACTTGCCATAGTTACACTGGCTATAATTACTTTTGTCATAATTTTCTAATTTTTAAAAAGATGTAAATCTGTCTTTTTTTATTGCAAATTCGGGAAATTTTACCATGAAAATTTCCAACTTTAGTTTTCTCATAGTTTTAAAACAGAACAGTTGACACAAGTTCAGCTCCATATTTTCTCACAATGGAGGACCCTTTGGTGACCTTTGACGCCACAAGTAAGGGTAAACCAATGGTTCGAGACAGCAACAACTACACCTATGTAGCCAATGCCTCGTCTACAGAAGTGAAATATTGGAAATGTTCGGTTAAAATGTGCTCAGCTAGAATTCAAACCCGGATTTCTTCCTCAAACCTATGAGAGGATTGCTAACATTGTCCTACAGTATAATACTCTTCCCATAGAAGAGTGCCTAAATCTGATAGCTCATGAACTGTCTCTGCATTAGATTTGTAATTTGTATTCAAATTGTAATTGTAAAAAAAATTTAAATATATGTTTGTTAATTCAAACCAAATTTAATTTTAATTATGGCAAGAGTAATTATAGCAAGTGTGATTATGGCAAGTGTAACCATTATGGCAAGTGTAACTTATGGCAAGTGTGACTTATGGCAAGTGTTACTTATGGCAAATGTATTATGGCAAATGTAATTATGGCAAAAATATGTATGGCAAAAATATTATGGCAAATGAAACTGAGCCGCGTAGATATCAAATCCAGCTACTAATCCTATGCTCTAAATGCCACACAGTGACAGAAGCCTAGCTATCAATAAGCTATCTTCATCGATCCCAAATGATGGGGCCGATCCAATGTTCAAATTGTCAGACAGGGACACAAGCCTAGCTGTACAACAAGCTATATTTCGATCCCAAATGATGGGGACGATCCGCCCTGTTTATATCAACACATGGTTTCAGTGCTATGTGCACAAGGACACAAGCCTAGCTATACACCAAGCTATATATTGATCCCAAATTAAAGGGAAAATCCTGCCCGACTATAAAAACAGGGCTTCAGATATACTCTCACACAGTAAACAGTACAGAATTACTCTATAGAACTTACTTCATCTAATATTATATATATTATATATATTACAAGTTAACATGAATTGACGTAGTTACAATTCCGACAACGTATTCTATATTACCTTATTAAGACCATCGAATTATTCGCACAGTAAAAGTTTACTGTACGTATTTATAAGATTAGAAAAATAGATATAAATCATTTTAGCTATCTCCACACATGTTTTTTAGCTTAATTTAAGTATGTTGCATGATTTAAGCTAATCATGCTAAGTATTCAATTGAAACACAGTTTCAATGAATAATGTCATTATGTCTACAAAATTAAATCATTACTAATGTAAAACGTACTGCAAGTTTACAGAATAATCATGTTTCCACGATTTTTACTACATAGTTCTTGTTCGAGAAACTTTATTGTGTAGGGTATTTAGTCCTAACCCTCACCCCTTACCTTCAGTAAACATTCCTTGGGAATAAAGGATATATATATAAAACATTTATAAATTAAATGAGTTGTGATTAATTTCTTTCACCGGAAAAATAATTATGCTTTTTTCTTGTTTTTGAAAGGGAACGTGATATTTGGACATTTCATAAGATCAAAATTTTTATTTTGATCAAAAACAGGTAAAAATAATTTCTATTGAACTAAAATGATTAATTTCAATATAAATGGGAGTGTCTGGCCACTGGCCAGGTAGGGTAGTTGAAATGAGAGTGCGGTATTACAGAGAAAATGTTTATAATTCAGTCATGACCTAGCTACATATAAGGTTTTTGTACGATGTACATTGTACATTGTACATTGTACAATTGCTAAGTAACAGCACAACATTTTTTTTTAATTCTCCCTGACTGTCCACTCTTGACTTTAAAAATCGATTTCCAAAAACAATTAAATAACAACGACGAAAAATGTAAGAACAAATCTACAGTAAACTAATGACATGTTAAGGAATATATTTCTAAAAAGAAATTATCGATGAAAGTCATTTTAGCATCGATTAGTTTTTTAAACCTATGATGATATGGTAAATAGGGTTTTCAAAACATCAAGTGCGATAACAGCGATAAGGCGGGTCAACCTAAACCCCTGTAAAAGCTAACCACCAGTATTCTGTTTTCTAACAGCTTTCTACATATACAGTGACCTGTACGGGAGAATATTTATTAAAATGCATTCAAGAGCAGTATGCTTACACGCCAGGAGGAGGGGGTTTCAGTAGGCCCAGACAGGAAATGAGGGGAAGGGTTGGTGTTGGTGGGGGGGGGGGGATATAAACTGTATCTATCTCTATCGACTAACCTGGCGTGTCAGCTCCATGAACAATATTAAGATGACCTCCACAAAACCTGTAAAAGAAAATGTACATATAAGAGTGCACAGAATAGGAAATTAGTTCTAAATATTCCCCTCCGGCAACTATTTCATGTAAATTGTACGATTTACAGTGCACACACAAATTAAAACAAAAATGCGAGCACTAAAGTAAATTAAAAATGTTTAGGTTCTAAAAATGCAATATTATCTAGACTATGGACTGGAGACTCTATAGTGTAGAAATAGAATAAAGTAAATGAAATGTCACAAATCCGACATACAGGGTGTCTCACGAAACATGACAGTTGGTGAATAGTTTAAAATGTCTTCTTCCATAATTTGATAAATTGTTTGATACCAGAGATGATGATAAGAAATACTTAATGGCAGTAATATTATAGTAAAATTGACATCAAACAAATATATATTTGGGTAGAAGATTTGTTTCACGAAATAAAGCGCAAAAAGTCTTAAAGAACTAATACGGTATCATGGAAGACGACATTGAAAACTATTCACCAAATGTCATGTTTCGTAGGATGTCCTGTAAGAGCCAAGAAATGAGTGTCTCGTGCACCTTCACTTGCCAGACCACGGTTAATTAATTGTCCTTTAATAGGATGTTCTTCACTGTAGTTACTTTTACGTGGAACCATACTACTAGGCTTTCCTAATGAAATTCCGTTGTGCGGAATTGCGCGCAACTGTTTTCGTATTCCGCGGAATTGCACGAAAATTACAGGGCCCGCATTTGCGCACAAGTAAAATTCATTTGCGTTGGAAACCTTAAAGATATTACAAATACTCACTTTCTAAAGACTATTTTTATTCTAATGAATATTTTTTATGATTCCATCCAAACGGAGCAAAAACTTTAAACAACAATATAATGTTCAAAACTTTTCTTTTAATTTTTTATTTGCATGAAATAATTTAATAACAATAATTTCTCAGAAAGACCCAGTCAAATTAATATAATTTCTGTAATTTAAAATGACAAACCATTTATAAAGTGGCATATTCTATTCATATGTTGATGAACATTTTTTTCTCTTCGACTGCGAAAATCCGTATATAACTTTACAATGAAACCTCAAATGAAAGTAATCAAAGTTAAGAAAGGAAAAGAAGGATGAATCCACCAGTTTAGCAGTTAAGTTAAACCGTTTTGATTAAGACATGCCACACCTAAATTTCGTTTATAATTCTTTTAATCGACCGTAAAAAACAGACCTATCCTGAGTATCTCCAGATATAGGAACTATTCCCCTGTTCAGTTGAAGATAATCACTGAAAAATATCTAATATGAAAAACATAAAATTCAACATTGATAGAAATACTATCGCTGCGTTCGATCTACCGAAAATGGCAGAATATAGTTCGACAAAATGAGGCCCACAGAGCTGTAAAATAGGTAGACAACATTTAAGTGATATTTAATGTTGTTATATAGCAAAATATATAGCAAAATATATAGCAAAATCTATAGAAAAATATATAGCAAAATATATAGCAAAACGTTTCAAGTTCATTGGACTTTTTAGGGGGGTACAATTCGACACTTGGTGAGTCGTGACACCAAATTTTTGTTCAGGTTGCGTTTGGTCCTTAAAATTGAGATAGAAACGCTGACATATTTCATGCAGCTGATCTAATTCTGGTCATCTGCAAATATCAGGAAGAAAATTTGAGATCGGAGGTCATTGACCTCCATTTTGACCTCTATGAACTCAGAAAGTACGAAAAAATACCACTTTTTTACTCTAATTCAATTATTTTCAGTTTGACCTCCCTTCAATAATGAAGGTAAAAATATTAAATCAATGAAAATAAGTCCAGTAAGTACGGTAGTGAAAAAGGTGAAATCGTTTTGCGAAAGTTTAACATTTTTTTCGCATTTCGTTCGCCCACGGAAAGTGCAAACATTTTGCGAAAAAAATGATATAATGAAACTTCGCGAAAATAATTTTCGGGAAAAGTTTTCACATTCTTTCGCTTAATTAATTTTCGAATGAAAAATGTCTGTTCCGAGTCCCCTTTTTGACCTCATAGAATCCTGAAGAATTTCCTCTGGAGTTCAATATATGAAATCAATAAAAATAAGTATTGTGAGGTATCAAATCATAGGTTTTTGGTGTTCTGATTACATTTCGAACCACATTTTTGACCAAAGATGATCATTTGACCTACAGATATCAATGACCTTCAGAGGTCAAAATATGAAACCAATTAAAATAAGTCATTTGAGGTATAAACCATTTTAGGAATATTGTCTTTACCTTATATTACACCTTTTTCATCCTGTACCCTCTTTTATTTTTCATCCTGTACCCTCTTTTATTTTTCATCCTGTACCCTCTTTTATTTTTCCTTTACAGTCCCTTTAAAGTCTCATCCTTTGTGAGTAACCCAGTATAACAAGAAAAAGTCAAGAATGTACTTTTATCAATGTAAAAATAATTTATATTGTGGACATAAATGGAAAGAAACATAAATTTAATCAATTGATTTGATAAGAAATTAGAATCCTTTAAAGAAACTCGAATTAAACTCTTTAATATCTTGTCAAGCAGATTGATACTACATGCAAGTTTAGAATGGGTAGTTGGCACAAAATGACGGTCGAAGCCAAATAACAAAAATGCATAATAACCAAAAGTTAAATAACAAAATGTCGAATAACAAAACGTTAAATAACAAAATGTCAAAAATAAAGTTAAATAACAAAAATTCTATTAACAAAATGATAAAATACAACAAGTTGAATAACAAAATGCCCAATAACTAAACCTTAAATAACAAAATAATAATAACAAAATGTCGAATAAACAATTGTTAAATGACAAAATGTTAAAATACAACAAGTTAAATAACAACATGTAGTATAACAAAACGTTAAATAACGAAATGTCGAAAAAGAAAACGTTAAATAACGAAATGTCGAAAAAGAAAACGTTAAATAACGAAATGTCGAAAAAGAAAACGTTAAATAACAAAATCTCGAATAACACAACGTTAAATAACAAAATGTCTACTAATAGAATGTATATAACAAAATGTCTAACAGCAAAATGTTAAATAAAAAAATTTTAAATAACAAAGTGTCGAATAACAAAATGTTAAATAACAAAATGTCAAAGAACAAAATGTTAAATAACAAAATGTCAAAGAACAAAATGTTAAATAACAAAATTTCGAATAACAAAACGTTAAATAAAAAAATGTCAAATAACGCAACGTTAAATAACAAAATGTTATTTAACAAAACGTTAAACAACAAAATGTCTAATAAAAAACGTTAAATAACAAAATGTCGGTTAACAAAACGTTAAATTACAAAATGTCGAAAATCAAAACGTTAAATAACAAAATGTTGAATAACAAAAAGTTAAATAATAAAATATCGAATAACAAAACGTTAATGCTTCAAAACGTCAAACGATATAAGCTGTAGATTACTATAAGTAGAATGGTAGATACCTGACGCAATATTGAGATGAGAGTCCTGCACTTGTGAAGGGGTTGAGAGGAGTGTTCCCCCATTTACCTGACGCAATATTGAGATGAGAGTCCTGCACTTGTGAAGGGGTTGAGAGGAGTGTTCCCCCATTTACCTGACGCAATATTGAGATGAGAGTCCTGCACTTGTGAAGGGGTTGAGAGGAGTGTTCCCCCATTTTTCCAGCATAAAAGCTCCGTCTTCACTATATCTAAAATAAACCAGCTTTATACGCTCATCAAGTCGTTTTACATTTTTGTTGTTCTACCTTCTTTAAGTTTTTTTGAGTTTTCTTTAAATATTTAATCTTACCGTTATCTTATCATTATAAATGTAAATATCTAGATACATAAATACACTCGTATTTATTTATATATTTTCTGCAATTTCTTTGATATTTCCTTTTTCTTTATTAAAACGCAAATTGAGACTGGCTACAGGCGATAAGCCATTTCGCAATTTTATAGCAATTTTTAAACCATCTTTCATAGTTCCATGTGTTTTTCCCCCGCGTTTTGTCTGTAATATGTTTATATATATTACAAGAACCTTGAGATATATAAAAATATGTTTTTAATAAAGTATTTGAAAAGAAGAAGAGTGCTCATATTTTGCAGAAAATAAAGATTTTAACTATCCTTATTTTTCTTTTGAAGCTACAAAAGTCTGTTTTCACAGTTTTAAAATCAAACATTTCAAAAGATATTTCATTGATCTTTTTTTTTCATTCGTTTTAATGAAGATTTTACATTCCTTGAGAAAATATCTAATTTTACATTTTGCATTTATAAAGAAACCATAATCTGGACCCTCTGATGATTTATAAGGAACTTAAAATTACATCATCTTTTTTTTTAAACAAAAATATATAGTGTTTAAATTAGTATTAACTAATCCAGTAGCAGAATTTAAAGAATTTGCGCGGCGGTTTAAATTTAAGCCGCGGTTTAAATATGGTTGGTTCCACTTAGAATTGTTTTACAGAATATAAAAATAACATCGGATGAACGTCATATTTAGCGGAATTACGACTTTTCATCCTTTAAGCTACTTTTTATTATGAAAGTTGCATATTCTTTCGGCAAGAAAAGGTGTAAACTAAGTAGATGACATTAAAGTAATATTTAAAGGAGCACCTACAAATTTTTTCTTACTGAATGTTTCCTTATCAACATTTCCTACACAAAACGTTTTCTGCTACAAAACGTCTCCTGTCATCAAATGTGTCCTGCTTCAAAACGTTGCCTGCCGAAAACGTTTCCTGCTATGTTTCCTCACAAAAGGTATTCAATATAAATTGGATTTTGTACTGGAAGCTTTTACAAAAGAGAACCAATCTTCTCCAAGACGGAAATCATTTCAAATACAGAACTTAGAAAGAGAATAACAGGGTACCAACAAATTTAGCCAGAATGTGAATTCCATGCCTTTTCAGATATACAGGGAGAGTGTGGTGAGTTTCTTCAAGAATGATTGAGTTTGTTTCATTCTGATTGTAATTAAAAAAATAGTCACATTTAATGTTCAATAGATTTTCAAACTTTTTGTATTTTTTAAGAAAGGAAACATTTAATAAATGAAACGTTTTAAAAGGAAATGTGACTGGAAACGTTTTGTGTAGGAAACGTTCTATGAAATACTCAGTAAAGAAACGTTTTGTGTAGGAAAGTTTTGCAAGGAAACATTCAGTAAGGAAACGTTCAGCAAGGAAAAACATTCAGTAAGGAAACGCTCAGTTAGGAAACGTTCAGTAAGGAAACATTCAGTAAGGAAACATTCAGTAAGGAAACATTCAGTAAGGAAACATTCAGTAAGGAAACGTTAAGTAAGGAAACGTTCAGTAAGGAACCGTTCAGTAAGGAAACTTTCAGTAAGGAAACGTTCAGTAAGAAAACGTTCAGTAAGGAAACGTTCAGCAAGGAAACGTTCAGTAAGGAAACATTCAGCAAGAAACGTTCAGTAAGGAAACGTTCAGTAAAGAAACGTTCAGTAAGGAAACGTTCAGTAAGGAAACGTTCAGTAAGGAAACGTTCAGTAAGGAAACGTTCAGTAAGGAAACGTTCAGTAAGGAAATGTTCCGTAAGGAAACGTTCAGTAAGGAAACGTTTAGTAAGGAAACGTTCAGTAAGGAAACGTTCAGTAAGGAAACGTTCAGTAAGGAAACGTTCGATAAGGAAACGTGCAGTAAAGCTTTTTTGATTTTGATGTTGTTAAATAAGAAATATTGGACTGTTTAAAACCATTACTATAGTTTAAAAGTAGTTGTTCTATTTCAGAGTTTTCTGGTTCTTGCACTGTATGAAAATGTGTATAGTTTTCTGGTTCTTGCACTGTATGAAAATGTGTATAGTTTTCTGGTTCTTGCACAGTATGAAAATGTGTATAGTTTTCTGGTTCTTGCACTGTATGAAAATGTATATAGTTTTCTGGTTCTTGCACTGTATGAAAATGTGTATAGTTTTCTGGTTCTTGCACAGTATGAAAATGTGTATAGTTTTCTGGTTCTTGCACAGTATGAAAATGTGTATAGTTTTCTGGTTCTTGCACTGTATGAAAATGTGTATAGTTTTCTGGTTCTTGCACTGTATGAAAATGTGTATAGTTTTCTGGTTCTTGCACTGTATGAAAATGTGTATAGTTTTCTGGTTCTTGCACAGTATGAAAATGTGTATAGTTTTCTGGTTCTTGCACTGTATGAAAATGTGTATAGTTTTCAACCAAAATGAATTGAACTCATTAGAAACCTTAATGTGTGTACATTTAATCCCATGTAGTGGAAAGTGGAGAAAAAATTAAAGTTTTGTAGAGTGAAGCAAATGAAGATGTAACTTCAAGTGTGTCTAAAACAATGAATCGGGAATTCACACTTTACTCTTTGAACATTGGTTTTCTTATTTTGTGGTTTGGCAGAATTATACGCTTTTCATTTAGAAATACGACGATCTCTACCAGATTTGAGATCAGATAATGGAATAAAGAGTAGTGTTGTGAATTGAGCATGCAGATTTTTAAATTTAAAATAACAGTCCTTTCAATGCTTTTTTCTGCCATAATACGATACTATTTCACCCTTTCTTAAAGAATTACAGTGCTAACCAGAAAATCTTGGAATAATAAGTCGTCTTTTAGACTCAAGTTATGATTTAAATAGTCTAATAAACATAAGGCACTCAAATTATAAATAGACCCTTTTCATTTAATAATTGATAATAAAAGCTTTTTGTTTCGTCACAACATCAAATATATTTGAGTATTGCGATAATGTCGTCTTCCTATTCTACAGTTTTCTCTTTATCACTGTAGTATATTTCATCTGTTTCTACACATATTTTAAACTTTAGAAAAAGTATGTAAAAAAAGTTTTCAAAGAATTTCTTACTTAATTCTGCAGGCCCCAGGTGCTGCCACTATACACATTCTAGATAAAATATATATATATGAGGGACTGCCACTATACACATTCTAGATAAAATATATAAAAGGAAGGGACTGCCACTATACACATTCTAGATAAAATATATAAAAGGGAGGGACTGCCACTATACACATTCTAGATAAAATATATAAAAGGGAGGGACTGCCAGTATACACATTCTAGATAAAATATATATAAGGGAGAGACTTCCACCATACACATTCTAGATAAAATATATATAAGGGAGAGACTTCCACTATACACATTCTAGATAAAATATATAAAAGGGAGGGACTGCTACTATACACATTCTAGATAAAATATATAAAAGGGAGGGACTACCACTATACACATTCTAGATAAAATATATAAAAGGGAGGGACTGCTACTATACACATTCTAGATAAAATATATAAAAGGGAGGGACTACCACTATACACATTCTAGATAAAATATATAAAAGGGAGGGACTACCACTATACACATTCTAGATAAAATATATAAAAGGGAGGGATCACGGATTATAAACCAATATTGAGGTAACAAATCTGAAAATTATAAGAGATGATTGATACGAAAAGATTGTAAATTTAAAAGTTGGTAATTTTCCATGCATGGAAAGTTACCAACTTTTCACTGGCTGATTACTCTATATACGAAGTGTGAGTACAGGCCTCACATTCCATGCGGAAACCTGGTCATTTGAAGCGACTTCAGTGGGTGGTGGTCACAGTATATATGTCCTAAATTTAATATGCCTTGCATGATTTTAATCGGTTTTATACCCTTCAAAACAGTAAAACAATATTATCTAATTAAAAGCTTGTGAACACAGTTTTGCCTGTAATTAAACATTCTCTAAAAACATTGTATAAATCGATCCAGGTGTTCACCAGTTGTGGTCGAACATACAAACAGACAAAAATGATTAAGCAAAATTGAATAAACGTGATTTTTTTATGTTTTAGTTTATGATTGGCGTAAATATAATTAAAGAAAATTGATTTTAGAAATTTTTTGATTAAATTTTGTACAACTAGCTTAATTTGTTTAATTGAAAAAAAATACAATTCCCGCTTTTTTTGTTCTCCAAAACTATGGTTTGCTTATGTATTTAATGCAAATTTAATTTAAAATCATTGTTTTTGTCGTAAATATGGAAAAAAGAAAGTTCAAAAACTGTTTATTAAATATTTTGCTTGACTGAAAAGTTGAAAACTTGTTTAAAGACTCTGCATATTTGAAATGGCATGGTCAAGGGCTTTTCAAAAATGTATAATTTTTCATTTTTTGGACAAATTTTTTTTTGCAAACATTTTTACTATATAACTGGATTTTGCAATAAAAAAATCGAGTTTTGCAAATTTGCAAATTTTTTTGCAGATTCTAAAAGTAGAGCACAAGAGCTTTCCAATGATGTATCATTTGTTATATTTAGACATCAAACATGGGATTTAGAGGGGGGGTCAAATTGACCCCCCCCCCCAGCATATCCTGGTTTTCAAGTACCCCTGCAGTGATAGGGTTAAAGACTCTTCCGGTAGCATAAAGATGGTTCGGAATGTTACACTGAAAACGGATTAGGTATCAACCTGACCCCCCTTTCATTTTTCGCTACCTCTACAATATACAATATACATATCTTGAATTGAATTAATGCAGAAATGCTTCTGATAAATGGTCCAGAAAACACTGCGGAGTTCTCAGGATTATTTATCATACTTGAAGTGTAAACTTAAACATCAAAAAAGATTTATTTAACATTTTAATTTACTTTTCAAAACAGATTTTTTTATCAATATAACCAAGTTAATTCTGTTAGAATATCTGATAAGAACTCATGAACCCCTGGACAGATTGTGGTTTAAAAATTCTAGGTTAACTGGAGGTAAATGGAAAGTTTAGATACCAGATAAAGAAAATATATATTTATATATGAACATTATTTGCAAGATAAGTTAAAAAAATTTTCCTGAAATTATTTTATCTTTGTTCTTCATGTTATCATCTCTATATCTTCTTTCTTTGTATTTCAAAAAACTAAGAAAGGAATTGAGTCTTTGCCACAAACTAATTTCTTTTAATCTCTCACATAGATTTAACAGTCTTATGATCCGATACGGTACAATATTTACATGTACTGGCATGTACTTAATTAATTAATTAAGAGACGACAACACCGATTAATCGAATATTTTCATCTTCTATGATTCCCTTTAAAACTGTCTGCTAGACCCGGCAAGGTTTTCTTTGCCTGGTTAGCTTGGATGGGACTATTCCAGGCAGATAGAATCTATGTGCTCTATTATCTTAGCATCCGGGCGGTGTAAACCTTGGTATTTTAAACTGAGATTGTTTGAATTCATAGTTTGAAATATATAAGGTCTATAAAATTGGGTTGCAAAGATATAAGGATAAGAAAATCAGAGTTTGTGGCAAAAACTCAATTCCTTTTGCAGATTTTCATGTTTACCAAAGCGAATCTCCAAAATCGGTGAAAACTCGAAAATACTTTTGAATTGTTTTTTATTTATATCTATTATAAAAATAGATTAATACAATACAGATTGAACACTAGATGTCGTCTTTTCAAGATTTATGATTTTTTGTTCACAATAACCCTGAGGCAGAAACCCAAAGGAGTTTCGCTCATGCCGCGTTAAATGACAAGACAGGGAGAGAGCATGCGCGTAACTACTTTGGGCTTCTGCCTCAGGGTTATTGTGAACGAGCCACCCCTTCATCTTAAAAAGACGACATCCAGTGTAATCTGTATCGTTATAAATCTTTAAATCTAACCTTCCGTAGGTCGATTTTTTGTTTTGAAGTTTATCCAATACAAACAAATAAAAAATAGACAAGCCAAAAAAAAGTGAACAGAGTCTAAAACTAAAGAATGCGCAAAATTTAAGTTTTAGCCTAAAAGTTCTGTAAAATAATGATATGCTACTTAAATATTAAACTTTCTCAATATAACCCTGAAGGGAAATTTGAATTTCCCGGGAAAAATCCGAACCAATCAGAGAAAAGGATTTGCAGAGAGATATTACGTAACCGTCAGATTTCGACTATTTTGGTTTTCTAATAAATTGAAAAAGGGCATATTTCAGAAATTCCAAAACTAGGAAAATTGTTATTGTTTAAAGAAGAATGCATTTAAAGTAGATTGACGAATGAATGCTGCAAACTATTTCAAAGATTTATGACGACCTTCAACCATGTACCTGTAATGTTGATCTTTAAGATATTCTCCCCCGTCATAGTTGAAGGAGTTTATTACAGCGGAGATATCATTGTACAGCTGGAAACATCCAGCTGGGGCCTAAAGTGTACATGAGATATCATGTTATAGTTGGAAACATCCAGCTGGGGCCTAAAGTGTACATGAGATATCATTGTACAGCTGGAAACATCCAGCAGGGGCCTAAAGTGTACATGAGATATCATTGTATAGCTGAAAACATCCAGATGGAGCTGTACAGTCAAAAGTAGTGTACGATTTGTATTGCATGTACGGACATCCTAGAGTGTACAGTTTTCAGCAAGCATATAAAGGACATTGTATACTGAGCTAACTATTGAAAGGTGGATATTAAGATTAATGCTTAAACTCCTGGTTCTACTAAGCCAAAGATTATTTAAAACCCATTCGATATCCAAGAAAGAAGTATAAAATTTAACCAATCAGCGTGTCATGTTAAGATGTACTTTTCAACTTTTGCAAAACCGGTTTTGATTTCTGGTGTTGATGGTGTCATATCAATTGAACTAAACATCGATTGAACGAACGTAAGTTTTGTATTAATGTTTATTAAGACTAAAGTTCAAAATGAAAATGTCCTAATTATGTTTTTTTAATAATTTCATATAATTTCATGATAAAATTTATATTTGTTTAAATGTTCTAAAAGCTGGCTTGTGAACAGCGGACTTTAAATCAATCGGATATAAGTCCAATTCAAATAGCAGTGTATCTGTAATTGTTATCAAACGTAACTTTCATACAGTAGAAATATCCAAAAAGAGGATCATAAGAAGAAAATCAAAAGTATGTACATATAATCAGATTAAGCAATCGTGATTAGGGATATCTCATTCTAAAGGTTTCAGCTCAGTACACAATTTTATTTTTGTATGAATGAAAACAAATGAATAAAAATTTGCTAGTTCTTCTTTCAGAATTTTATTTTAAACTTTAAATTAAATGAATTTTCAAATTTAAACAACATCAAAGTTTTCTTGGGAAGAGTTCGAAGTAAAAGTTAATTTAATTGTTTTAGAAGATGAATTCTCGTTTATATAAAGTAAAACTAAGTGGAAGCATGGCTTTGAGATTAAGTTCTTTGAACAAGGAAACGTTTTTCATTTCTGTGACTATGTTTTAAAATCATTCTAGAATCACGTTTTTTATGGAAGTGTAGATTTAATATATTTAAATTTTGGGTCCATTGATCAATTAGATTTTTTAGACTTAGAAGGGAAGAAGTTTGAACATTTTAAATGGTGTTTGAGACGCCTTATTGTACACTGGAAATACAAAAAAAACCTTTCCTAATAGGATCTCATATTATCAAGAGATAATACGAAAAATGTGTACTCAAAATCAGTTCAGCCATTTTGGCTTTTATTGTACACTTGCACTTAGACTTCCAAATTAGACCTTCGAAATTTCAAACTGTGGTTTACGTTAGATAAATAATCTTAGTTTGAAATATCAAAGATGTACTGTGTACACCATCAGGTTGCAAAGGTGTAGTGATTAGACAATTTTAGTTTTGGCAATAACCTCAATTCCTTTCACAATTTTTACACTATTTTATATATTATATTACGAAATATTACGAAATATTTAGATTGTATTTAAGAATATTTCTAAATATTTCTAAATATTTCTAATTATTTCTAAATATTTCTAAATATTTCTAAATATTTCTAAATATTTCTAAATATTTCTAAATATCTCTAAATATTTCTACGGCCCTTCCAGAAAATACCAAAAATTGGGCCTTTGTTCATTTCCTTACAATTATAGTCATCTTTAATATTAATGTATATAAAAGAAAACAGTGAATGATTGATTAGAATTCTATTATTGACTCCTATTCTTTGTATCCCTGTCAAGTTTGAAATAGTAAAAAAACAGACCCCATTTAGAAATCCGAATATTCTTTTTACATGAATCCTGTTTTGAAGTAAGCAAAGAGCGACTTTAAACAATTATGTTCCCATATACCTGAACCAACCTTATCCCATCATGTTCCCATATATCTGAACTGTTAGTGTCCCATCATGTTCCCATATACCTGAACTGTTAGTGTCCCATCATGTTCCCATATACCTGAACTGTTCGTATGTCCCATTATGTTCCCATATACCTGAACTGTTCGTGTCCCATTATGTTTCAATATACCTGAACCAACCTTATCCCATCATGTTCCCATACATCTGAACTGTTAGTGTCCCATCATGTTCCCATATACCTGAACTGTTAGTGTCCCATCATGTTCCCATATACCTGAACTGTTAGTGTCCCCTCATGTTCCCATATATCTGAACTGTTCGTGTCCCCTCATGTTCCCATACATCTGAACTGTTCGTGTCCCCTCATGTTCCCATATATCTGAACTGTTCGTGTCCCCTCATGTTCCCATATATCTGAACTGTTCGTGTCCCATCATGTTCCCATATACCTGAACTGTTCGTGTCCCATTATGTTTCTATATAACTGAACTGTTCGTTTCCCATCATGTTCCCATATACCTGAACTGTTCGTTTCCCATTATGTTTCTATATAACTGAACTGTTCGTTTCCCATCATGTTCCCATATACCTGAACTGTTCGTGTCCCATTATGTTCCCATATACCTGAACTGTTCGTGTCCCATTATGTTTATACCTGAACTGTTCGTGTCCCATTATGTTTCCATATACCTGAACTGTTCGTGTCCCATCATGTTCCCATATACCTGAACTGTTCGTGTCCCATCACAAACTATCTGTGTGATCCAGAGTCCCCATTTATACTCTCCTGCTTCTTTAGTTTCAACCTAAATTATATAATAAAAGAGATCTTGTTTAATGATTCTTAAAAGACAATCCTAATTGTACTAGAAAGTGTTACAGTAAAAATCAGAAAACTCTGGAATAGGAAGACGACTTTTAAACTCAAGTTATGACTTTAAACAGTCCAATGAACATAATAAACAAAGATTGTACAGTGTAGAGACAGAGCCCATTTGATTTTAAATTAATTTGATAAGTTGATATGTTACCACGTCAAATAAACTTAACTATAAGTTCAATATCGTCTTTCAATTCCATAGTTTTCTTGTTCTCACTGTATCTTTTATTTTTACGATCCTAAACGACCATGAAACTGAAATTGTTACAAAAAAAAAATACTGATTCAAAATCATTCTTTTCCCCATTGTTAATTTTCTGACACCCCCTTTTATAAAAATACAAAAATAAACTAAATGTAATTTTGAAAATATTAGAAATAGGATGGATATGGTTATGAAGATTGCATAAAAAAGGTTTTATTTACATGCATCCGTTAAATTTGTTCAATTCAAACACAAACCTTTATTTATTATAATTTCTCCAATCTAATCCATCAAAATTTTGAATAAGGGCCTTTCTCTATTTTATCTTTCATTGAACCTATTTTTACTTTTTATTTATGAGTCTGTATTCTGTAATCTGTATATCTTTTTTTCAATTTTCTTATTGCATTAAACAATATAATTTTATAAAAAAGTGTTTCAAAAACTTATTCTTCTGTTCTTACCTTAAAGTCTATAAACTTTAATGGATATCCGTCTAAAGTCTGAAAATAAGATAAAAATTAAATCTTCTTTTTCTCCACTAGAATTTCCAGCAAAATGGAAAAATTCTTTCCCGAAAATTTTGCATTTTTTCGCATTTCTTTTGCAACAGACAGTCTATGGCTGAGCGGGAAATTTAAGAGAGTATCGTTGAACGAAACTCCCAAGTTTCCTTTTTGAGGTAAATACATGTGTGTAGATTTACATCAAGAAGTAGAAAATACCGATAAAAATAATTCCATGTAAAATAATGTTGATTTCTACAAAATTTTGCTTGACCCCATCCGTGAAACCCGGGTTCCAAAACTGGGTTTCATGAGGATACCCTGTCTTTAGTTTTGGGCTCTGTCCTTACACTGCACTGTACTACTTGCTGTACTGTACTTCAAATGAACTGGAGTAACCAATGACGTCAAGACCTCTTAGTAAAATCAACAGTAGTGCTTCATTATATTTGTAAACTTGATGAACACTATCTTTAAGATAATCTGGTGAAAGCTCTAAATGGATCCATTTGTAGAAACATATATTTTCCCAGGGCTGAGAAGAAGAAAGGAATAATAATTGAAAAAAAAGTTAGAATTAGCATAATTCAAGAATTGGAGTAGAAAGTAGAGGCTAAAGATTAAAGAGATGGGCGTGTTCGGCTTTTTAATTTGGTTCGTTCATCGTTCATAAACAACACAGGTAATTCGTTTTTTATTCAAGCGTTAAAAAAAATTGATTTCCATTTTTTTTTTAAATGATTGTTCATTTTCCATTTATCGTTCAGTAAAATCGTTTGTTCAGTAAAATATTTTTTTTTCACTTATCTTTTCGATCCAATTTGTATTTCCAACGTTCGCTTTTTTGAAAATTGTGTTCGTTCGTTTGCTCACAAAATTAATACCCATCTATAAATAGAGTAAGTTAATACAAGATGGTTCTAGTTCCAAGATGGAGTTTATACAAGATGGTTCTAATTCCAAGATGGAGTTTATACAAGGTGGTTCTAGTTCCAAGATGAAGTTTATACAAGATGGTTCTAGTTCCAAGATGGAGTTTATACAAGATGGTTCTATTTCCAAGATGGAGTTTATTCAAGATGGTTCTAGTTCCAAGATGGAGTTTATACAAGATGGTTCTAGTTCCAAGATTAAGTTTCTGAAATTACTTTTCTAATAAGAATCATAACTGCATACACTTCCATACATCTGCGACAAAACATCCTTACTATCCTTCTATTTATAAATGACCAGAGACAGTTTGATTTTTCGAAAACTTGAAAAGAAGTAGTAACATTGTTGTCGCTGTGAACTATATGGAAAGTCTCATTACTGGCTCTGTAAAGCAAATTAATCCGGTTTCTCTACAGCAATTAAAAACTTTTTTGTTCTTCTCGAGAACTCCCATAGTAAGAGGAGTTATGATTGAAAAGATATCAAATTTAAATCTTAGTTTTCGTTTTGGCAGGAATTTCCTCTATCATTTATCTAATTGGTCGGCAGATGCAATTATAATAGATGAAGAGATCTAATTGGTCGGCAGATGCGATTATAATAAATGAATAGATCTAATTGGTCGGCAGATGCAATTATAATAAATGAGAAGATCTAATTGGTCGGCAGATGCAATTATAATAAATGAGAAGATCTAATTGGTCGGCAGATGCAATTATAATAAATCAAGAGATCTAATTGGTCGGCAGATGTAATTATAATAAATGAAAAGATCTAATTGGTCGGCAGATGCAATTATAATAAATGAAGAGATCTAATTGGTCGGTAGATGTACTTATAATAAATGAAGAGATCTAATTGGTCGGCAGATGTAATTATAATAAATGAAGAGATCTAATTGGTCGGTAGATGCAATTATAATAAATGAAGAGATCTAATTGGTCGACAGATGCAATTATAATAAATGAAGAGATCTAATTGGTCAGTAGATGCAATTATAATAGATGAGGAGATCTAATTGGTCGGCAGATGTAATTATAATGAATGAAGAGATCTAATTGGTCGGTAGATGCAATTGTAATAAATGAAGAGATCTAATTGGTCGGTAGATGCAATTATAATAAAGAAGAGATTGCAAGCCACGGTTCTTATTGATACAATAAGGAAGCCTAGCCTATGGAATCTTCATGATGAAAAGGTAACATTTTGATACAAATGAAAAAAACACTTTCATGATTCTTAACCTTAGCTCTTTCTGAGATTTAGCAGGCTGTAGGTATTACATAAAATCCGACACAATACACAAAACGTAAACTTAAACTAATAAAAACATTTAAAGCAAATGTTATCAAATTGTGCTCTAAGACAGAAGAAAAAAAAATAATTTATAAATCCCCTGAGTCTAAAATAGTTTATAAGAACAAATGTTATCCTAATCTTATTACTTGCTTGCCAATCCAACTGTTTTAACCGAGAACATTGGTAGCTGTCTTCAGGTTCAAATATTGGTAGCTGTCTTCAGGTTCAAATATCAGAACAATCATTTGTACATCACATTATCAAGGTAAATACAAAATAAGTTGTTCACAACAACTTAAATAAGATTTCCAGGAACCTAATTATATTTTATTGAAAATAAAAAAAATGTTCTTTGTGAATTTATTTTCAATTGTGATCAGAAGATACGATTGTATAAATTAAATTGGAAATTTTTTAGTCTGGGGAAAAAATATCATTGGAGACCACAATATTTCCATTGGAGACCACAATATTTTCTTAGGAGACCCAAGGTTTAAATTGGAGACTGCGATATTTTCATAGGAGAATGACATGGAGAATGAGATCCTGATTTTCAATGGAGTGCCACGTGGAGTGTCTTGTGGGAAATCCCTAGATTTTCATCGGAGACCCATATATTTGGATGTTATTTGGAAACCACCAGATTTTCATTGGAGAACCATATTGTAATCAACACCATTAAAAATCATCAGCTGATTTTCAAGCCTTTGGCTTTTTGCTTTATTACAACAATCATTGCACATAAGTGCCGTCTTCATATTTCAAAGATTTATAGGTCCCATTGTAGATTGAATCCATTCGATCGGGGGATAAACAAAACTTTGAAAAAAGTTTACCTCGACATAGAAATGCTGTTCTCTATTTATCCCACAAAAATGCTTGACTCCCAGAGGCCAAATTGTTCCACTAGGATATAAAAAAGTTGAAATTGAAAATTGAAATTAAATAATTTATTTTTAATTAAATCTAAAAAATTGTATTGTTGAACAACAAACTTGAGAGTGAGTGCTTGTCTTGAACAACAAACCTGAGAGTGAGTGCTTGTCTTGAACAACTACCATCTAGTGGAGTAAGAAGTTGTGTATCTACAAAATCTACTCGAACCTGAACATTCATTATAACATTCGAAACTGAACATACATTATAGTATTCGAACCTGAACATACATCCTAATATTTTCTTTTATATACTTCGAAATGACTAATATTTTGTTAGAAATTATGTAAAGAATGTTAGGGATATCTCACAAATCTTGTTGAGGGTTTTATCTAACAGTGCAGTCTGCATATGTATAATTGAATATATACAATAAAAAACTATGTGTTGGTTGGAATCTTGATCTATTGGCAATTAGGTGGGATAAAGTGAAAATAAGAGGAAATAGTACAAAAATAAAAAATGCTCTTCCCTCATTTACATATAGCTGGCCAAAGGGCTGGGCCAAATGGGTGTACCCTCAGAAATAGATTTTTGTTCAAACAGTTCTTAAAATTCCACAGACAACGCCGGGAACCTCAGGTAGTATATAATTAATTGTCCATAGAGCAAATGAAAATACAGGAGATGTTGTTTTTACCTTGACAAATATCTGGTAGAATCTCTAGTTTGTTTTTACCTGACAAACATCTGGTAGAATCTATAGTTTGTTTTTACCTGACAAACATCTGGTAGAATCCTCTAGTTTGTTTTAACCTGACAAACATCTGGTAGAATCTCTAGTTTGTTTTTACCTGACAAACATCTGGTAGAATCTCTAGTTTGNCTGCAGGGATACCAAATGGTAATTGTATCCTGCAGGGATACCAAATGGTAATTGTATCCTGCAGGGATACCAAATGGTAATTGTATCCTGCAGGGATACCAAATGGTAATTGTATCCTGCAGGGATACCAAATGGTAATTGTATCCTGCAGGGATACCAAATGGTAATTGTATCCTGCAGGGATACCAAATGGTAATTGTATCCTGCAGGGATACCAAATGGTAATTGTATCCTGCAGGGATACCAAATGGTAATTGTATCCTGCAGGGATACCAAATGGTAATTGTATCCTGCAGGGATACCAAATGGTAATTGTATCCTGCAGGGATACCAAATGGTAATTGTATCCTGCAGGGATACCAAATGGTAATTGTATCCTGCAGGGATACCAAATGGTAATTGTATCCTGCAGGGATACCAAATGGTAATTGTATCCTGCAGGGATACCAAATGGTAATTGTATCCTGCAGGGATACCAAATGGTAATTGTATCCTGCAGGGATACCAAATGGTAATTGTATCCTGCAGGGATACCAAATGGTAATTGTATCCTGCAGGGATACCAAATGGTAATTGTATCCTGCAGGGATACCAAATGGTAATTGTATCCTGCAGGGATACCAAATGGTAATTGTATCCTGCAGGGATACCAAATGGTAATTGTATCCTGCAGGGATACCAAATGGTAATTGTATCCTGCAGGGATACCAAATGGTAATTGTATCCTGCAGGGATACCAAATGGTAATTGTATCCTGCAGGGATACCAAATGGTAATTGTATCCTGCAGGGATACCAAATGGTAATTGTATCCTGCAGGGATACCAAATGGTAATTGTATCCTGCAGGGATACCAAATGGTAATTGTATCCTGCAGGGATACCAAATGGTAATTGTATCCTGCAGGGATACCAAATGGTAATTGTATCCTGCAGGGATACCAAATGGTAATTGTATCCTGCAGGGATACCAAATGGTAATTGTATCCTGCAGGGATACCAAATGGTAATTGTATCCTGCAGGGATACCAAATGGTAATTGTATCCTGCAGGGATACCAAATGGTAATTGTATCCTGCAGGGATACCAAATGGTAATTGTATCCTGCAGGGATACCAAATGGTAATTGTATTCTCCAGGAATAACTTTAATAGAGCATTGATCCTCACATTTGATATCGAAATCACGACATTTACACAAAAGTTTCGATCTGGAGAAAACATCCTAATGTGGCGGAAGATGATCTGAGTCTGAGCCGGATACAGAGACGCGGCAAGAAGAGCAACAGTTCTGCCACGTCACCATGATATATATAATTTTGATTTCTTAAATTTACAAATAAGTTTTAAGTTAGTTAATAAAGTATTTATATAGACTCGTCGTCTGATAGATAGGTAGGCAGCCAGAAGTTCTGTGTCGAAGGCGGAGTTTTTCTTTTCCGTCTCTGAAAGCTTCCTGGAGAAAAAGGACAACGGAACCCAGGCGTCGTCAATCCTCTGCTGCAACACAGCACCCATATGAGAGTCTGAGGCGTCTACTGCTAGAGAGATTGGAGCTGATGGTAGAGGATGGGTGAGCTCTAGAACCTTGATGAGGAGATCCTTTGCGTGACAGAAAGCCGAGTCTCTGTATCCGGCTCAGACTCAGATCGTCTTCCGCCACACTACAAGGATATTATATTCTTAACTGACAAAAAATTGCAGTGCAGTTTAAGAAAAAGACATAACAGATATTTAAAATTAGTTTTGTACGTAAATGCAAAATTCATACTGTGCTTGTCCGTCCATTAAACGTCAAAACGGTTGAACTGATCGGACCCAAAATTTGTGGGGGAGCTCACATGACACTAGGAATTACAAAAAGTTGTCTCCAAAATTTTTTTTAACAAAGAGTAGATACTGACAGAGAGAGCCACAATAAAATTTGAAAACGTGGTGGGCGCGAAGCACCCTAAAAGTTTGTTTTTATATATTTAACTATTGAACTTACCCAGTTCATGATTATAGTTTGGATAGTTTTCATTTACAAAGTTTGTCGTAGCACCTATTTTAACAACTTGATTGCATGCAAATCTTATAAAAATTCTAAGTTGGCATACAAAATTATGAATTTAAATTGAAAACAATATTGGAATTGAGTCTTTGCCACAAACTCAAATTTGTTAACTCCTATCTTTACAACCTGATGGTGTAAACATTTGAAATTTTAAACTTTAACTATTATATTTAATAGAATTTATGGTTTGAAAAATTTAATGTCTACTACGATTGGTTCTAATGAAAAAAATCAGAATTTGTGACAAATACTCAAATCCTTTTTTAAATAATAATAAAAATATTAACAGTTGAAAAATGAATAATAATGATGAAAGAAAAAATAATAAAAGATGAAAAACTATAAAACTAAGAAATTAAAAAAATGTTTAAAAATAAAATCAAGAAATAAAGTTTTGCCTGATGATGCTTCGTTACAACTGAAAACTCCATTCCTTGAAAACAACTTTTTATTTCAAACTATTCTTTTTTTGGTTGGGGGGGGGGGGTGAAAAAGAAATGCTGAAGGATTTTTTATTCAGAATTCTAATTTGATTTTAAATAAATAAAAGGAAAAAATTTAAATAGAATTTGAATAGAATTTGAATAGAAATTAAAATTCATGAAACAAATTCCTTTTTTGCACTTTCTGTATCTCAGCAGCTTGGCTTGCAGGTCTATAGGACAGCTAAACAAAAAATTAATTCGTTATACAATTTTTTGCAATTTTATATATTTTTATATTTTTTTTAAAATATATTTTAGAATAATACTAATGAGCTCTTGCTGCGCTTAAAGTATTTTTAGCATAATTTTTAGCTTTTAATTTTGTCTTTTGAGGCCGTTTTTTCCTTTATAAAAATTCCTGTTTTCGTTTGTGAAAACGATGTAAGCATTTACGGTTGGTCTTTGCCTTAAAATGAAACTCGCTTTCATTTCCATAAATTATCTTTGTTTTGTAATCAACACAATTCGGTTATTTCTTAACCCCGAAAAAAAATCAGTTAAGAGAGAAAGATGCAAATCTAAAATAAATGCCCCCGTATTTTCTTTTATTTGAGGGTTTAACTAGCTACAAGAAACAACGTAGATATTCTTATAAAACTGTTAAAATCTAGAGTTCTTGTTGGCAAAATTTAATATTTACAGGCCATGAATCTATTGCTTCCCTGGGGTCATGTAAGGTCTACATAAACTGGTATGAAAATACAGAATACATATCATACATGTGCAAAAGAAAAAGCAACCTTGAAAAATAAAATGTCCGGGCAAAATTCAATAAAAGTCTGAAAAATCTAAAAAGCATTTTTCAATTTATCCCCCGATAAAAACTTGTTTCAAATCTTTGTTTTTATGAAATTATGATTTTTGATAATCACCTCTACTGTCTCATTTTGTGTGGTGATCAAAGACGATCCAAAAGTTAAGGTTTCAGGAGTTTGCGGAGGATATTCCATAGGGGGTAGAGTAGTCTGGGGAGAAGGAGAAGGGGGCGTAGTACCTCCTTCAGCAGGAGATATAGTTGTTAGAACAATAGGAGGCACGTTCTGAAATATTTATAGAATTTTTTTAGAATTTAAATATAAAGAATAAATTTGCTCAAAAAAAGTTTTCAATAATTCAATTTAATTTTTCCAACACTTTTCATGAGAATAACTTCAAAGGAATTGATTACACGCCTCAAACTCTAATTTAGATCCTTGCAACATGTCTCAGAACTTGGTTCCATGGTGCTCGATCATCTAACTATCAGTTTCAGAGATCATCTCGATCATCTAACTATCAGTTTCAGAGATAAAAAGGGCAATTTATTTAGTTTCTTTGTCCAAATATAGCTTCATTTCCAAACAGTACTTGACCAAGCTTTTTTATAGTATTATTTATTTTTAATTAATTCTTGAAATCACTTTAGATTCATATTATTGTTGTTGTGACAGGAAAAAATTTTAAATTTTAAATTTTAAATTCTCACTGAATTTGAACTAAATAAAATACTCTTACATAAGATTAATTGATAAAGAAAGCTTAATAACCTTTCCTGTGATATTTAGAAAGATGTAGATTTCCCTGTATGATAATTGAAAGATGTAGATTTCCCTGTATGATAATTGAAAGACTGCAGCATGGTTTTGGTGAACTGAGCCTAGGGATTTCTGCAATGATTTTCATCTTTCTAATTATCCCAAACAAAAAAGTTTGTGTTTATATACTGTACTGCAACGGTTACCTGGGATGGATACATGTTGTACATGTCTGGTGTACAGGGGGAGGACTGTACATTAACAGGGTTAAGACCCAGCAGGCTACTAAGAGGAGTAGAACTATAGATTAACCAAAATAATAAAAAGGAAATTATATTATAAAGTTTAAACAATAGAAGTAATTCCAGGACAAGGGAATAGTAAAAACAATTAAAAACTATGAAATAACAAATTAGTTTAAATAGAAAACAAACAAGAAAACTTTATCATAAACATTAGTTTGTTTCTAAAAAATTAAAGAGAAAACATTTTCTACGTTTATATTTGGTTTTAGTGTTTATAAATCCACAAATCTATACAATGATATTGTAATAAATATCGGGTCACATGATATTCTGTAAACCTGTAGTACGTTTTACATTATTAACTATTTATTCTTTAACACATTATAGGGATGTTAACGTTTTCTTTTTGTTTTGAAAAACGATCGTTTCGTTATAAAAAGGCGACGAAAAATCAAAAACGAAACGATCGTTTTTTAAAAAGTTCGTTTTTTAGAAATGGTCGTTTTTAAAACAATCGTTTTGAAAAATGATCGTTTAAAAAGAACGACCATTTTTATAAAGTTCGTTGTTTCGTTAACGATCATTAACGACAACCCTTCGTTAATGATCGTTAACAAAATTGTCAAAAAAAACTTTTTTTCAAAAAACGATAGTTTTTTTAAAAGCGATTGTTTTTTAAAAAACAATCGTATAAAAAACGGTCACAAATCGTTTTCATAAAAACGATCGTTATTCGTTTTCTAAAAGTATAAAACAAGTAGGTCGTTTTAAAACGATCGTTTTTTTCCGAAAACGAAGCAAAAAACGATCTTTTAACGATCGTTTTCAAAAACGATTAACAACCCTAATAATACATACAGCAATCTTCATATTTGTTAACCTTATGAGCTTACAAGATCGTGCCTTGAGTATTGGCATTGATAGTTACGAGCCAGTGTCTAGAGGACACCGATAGCTTAAGAGATTGTGCCTTGAGTATTGGAATTGATAGTTTACAGGATTGTAGCCGTGTGGATTGTGCCTTGTTTGAGACATTGATCAATTGATTGCTAATTTCCGTATTGACACCGATAGCTAAAGAGATCACTACCATGTAGATCCTGTCCTGTTTGATAATCATCACAGACGGAATGTACCTGGACTGATACAGTTTGGGACAAAGTTTTAAAAGTACGGCATTCACTGTAGAGATGTCAACGTTTTGATTTTTCTAGATTTTAGCTTTCGTTACGATAGTGCTCATTAAAAGTATTAACGTTTAAAACGTTACGTTGCACATTATGAAATTTTATTGCACAGAGTAACGTGCGTAATGAATTTTCTGCACTTGAATACCTTATACAACGTTAAGCTTTAGTAAATGTTGTGAAAAAACAGTAAGCTCCGTTACGCTTTTGCATTTCCCGTTTTAAAAAACTTTCCCAACGTTGCGTTAAAGCTTATGTAATGAAACCACAATTTTTTAACGTTCCACTTTCATGCAAGGTAAATATTTTCAGAGACCTTACGTTACACTTTCACTTGGTTTAAGATCTAAAAGATGACAAACGTTTTGCTTTAATAGAACGTCATTGGGGCATAGTTCTGTACGTTACAATGCATTTCAGTACAAATAATATTGTTTGTTAACGTTTACGTTTTATCTTAACTTTTCCAATATAAACTCTTTTAATTACGTTTAGAAATTTTACTAAAATGCTCCTTTTCTTACGTTACGATTTATCGAAACGTTATGGCGAAAACTTTTTTGTTACACTTTTTTACAACTGACAATCAAAACTGTTTATTCGTTTCGTTTCTAAGAAAGATTTGAAAAAATGTTCTATACGTTGCGTTGTTCAATTCCTTAATGTTTCTAACGTTAGACTTTATTAAAATAACATTGTTTCTAAATGAAAGCATTGCAAAAATTTTTCCGTGATAATTACATTTTTTAACTCACCCTGTATGTTGCTGTTGTATTGTTAACCTTTTTAGAGAATGTGTAGAAGAATATGCATTATGCAATATAAAGACGTTATAATATTATTATTTTTAACGATTTTTAAAATTTGTAAATGAAATTTTTTAGCATTAGACTTTCAACTCAAAGTATGTCTTTAAGGGACTAGAGACGTAATTTTAAGTGACCTTCCATTTATGGAGTGGCATGTTCAGAAGAGGTGATCAATATTGGAATAGAGCCAACCGCCCACCGGAAGCCGCTGCGTTTTCACCGTAAGGCCACAAAAAAAAATTTATTTTTTATTTTCATGTTATACATCATTTTCTTGGATATTCAATGCTAAATTCAAATCTGAAAAGCGTTTAAAAAAATTGAAAATTGAGTGAGTCAGAGCTAAAAAACTCATCAAAAATATTAAAAAGTTATAAAACCGGAATTTAGTACCGTTATTTGGCCATAACTTCTTTAGATCTTAATATATTTAAAAATGGTTTTCGAATCTGAATTCAGCATGAAATTTCCAAGAAAATAATGTATCATATTTATTTTTTTAAATACTTTTTAGGCCTTACAGTAATATCTCCAATATTAAATTGTCAATTCGCAACCCTATGGAAAACACTCCTAAATTTCAAATCATCAATCAGATAAAAGTTTACACGTTATCATTTGGAATTTAGCATGGCCCTCTTTAAATGGAGGATCACTTGAAATTATCATCGTGTATTTGACGAGCTTAAAAAATAGACATGTTTTGGGACACTTCATTAAATGAGTTAAATCCCGATGGTTTAAACCTTGTATATTACGATATTAATGGTCTACGACATCGGGTTGCAAATATATATTAAATGAAAATAAGGGTTTTTGGCATAAACTCATTTTCTTTGAACTTGAAATGAAAAACCATAAGTCTTTGCTCTTATAATCATCAGTCGAATCTCTTACATTGATATATTAGAGACGTTTTGAAATGTTTTGATTGACAGAATTATTGTTGCACTTTTGAAATTAAAACTCAGCCCTCATATTCTAACGTTTTATGAACAACATTTTCATCAGACATATATCTAACGTTAGACTAATCAATTTAGTATTCAGAGAAAAGTTATGAAAAGTTTTGATTTACAGAATTACATTTTTTTAAATGTTATACGTTACATTATTGAAATTTTACTTTGTAAAAAAATCTTTCGTTTCCTGATTATTAAAATAATAACCCATTTCTGCAACGTTGAATTTTTCATTACACTATAAGGGAAAACGTTTCAAAGCGTTTTCATAAACAGTAATTCATTTTACAGTTATACAACGTTACACTTTTTATAAATTGAACTTTGAAATAGAAATCCTTTCGTTACGATATTAAATCAAATCACAATCCGTTTTTCAAACGTTAGACTTTCAAGCTCCCCTTGGAAATAAAACATTTTTTTACGTTATGGTCAAAAAAGTTGTAGATATTAGAAAAATAACGTTACATTTCCACAAAACGCTAACGTTGGGGGTATACTCCTCTAACGTTAACGTGTAACGTTAACGTTAGGTATGAGCTCCTATAACGTTAACGTTTAACGTTCACGTTATATAGAATATATCCAAACGTTACACATTATTGTAACGTAACGTACAAAAACGTACATTATACGTTACGTTACACTATCGTTGACATCTCTAGCATTCAGTACAATATGAATTTTAAAAAATTACATCTTTTTCATTATTATTTTTTTAGAAGGTAGTTTAAATTGGTGGCACAATGGAAATGAGTTGGCTCCGTAAAATCCAATTTTACGACAAACACCCAAAGTTTAGGTGTTTTATCAAATATGTGAGTTTTCAAACCCAAATTTTTTATCATGACATCTATATTTTTTAGCTGAAGTGCCCGGCGTTGCTAGTAAAAAAGAAATAATTCTAACTCTGGGGGAAAAAATTTCGAAGAAGACAAAAATTCAGCCAGATTGGTCCAGTCGTTCATGTATTTTTTATAAATATCACGGACAGCCGTAGTACATTTGAATTTCCGAGCTGGGTCAACTATCCCGGTCCCAGTTTGTACTGTATCCCCCGAACATTGGGTAAATGAAGCAGACACTCAATAGGACTTGCCGTTGCAAAAAGGTTGACGCGGTTGAATTTACTTTTACTGAAGGGTCAGAGGTGCGTGATATATTTACAAATATATATGTATGAGCGAAGAGCTCTATTATTTAGTTACTGAGTAATTTTTAATCATAATTTAGTAATATTTGATATTTTTTTATTATTTTTCCTAAAAAAGTCTTCGCTCGTAGAGATTCCACTGCTGGCATTCAAAACTAACTGAATAAGAAAAGGTATAAGGAAACATTAAACGACATCGGGTTATGAGAATACAGTCGGCTTTCCATATTATACTTTTTAAAAACTATCGTTTTTAAAGTGTTTTCTAAAAATCGCTTGTTCTGTAAAAAAAACTATCGTTTTTCGTTCAGGAAAAAACGGTATTTTTTCAAGTTCGTACGAACGATTTGAAATCTTTTGTTTTTGATTTTTTCTTTCGTTTAAAAAACGATCATTTTTCATTTCTCTGAACGATTCATTTCGTTCGTTTTTTTCTGAATGACAACCTTTTAACCACGACAAATTTCGGTCGTTCGTTCTCAAAAATGTTGTTTGTTAAAAAACGTTATCTCTGTGGCGTTCAACTTATTGTTTTCTTTGGTTTCTTTGCCAAATCAAAAATATAAATATAAAATCATATAAAAGACATTTCCTATTCCGAAGATGAAGTTTAAACCTCAGAACGTTATAAATTTTTTATTTTTTAGTTCATCAGTGAAGTCTCATCATTTTTAGGTAACCCTGCATATGAATGATTTTTATCCAACCTGAACTGCTGTATCCGGATCTGTATTTGTTTAGGTAACCCTGTATATGAATGATTTTTATCCAACCTGAACTGCTGTATCCGGATCTGTATTTGTTAAACCCGGAAGTTCAAGAACGGATCCATTTTCTCCCAATATTAAATAGAAATGGTTGTGTGCATGAACTTCAGCTGTAATCTGAAATATAATTTTTAAATTGTTTTACATACCTCGTTTTTCGTTTTGTTGAAGATTTTACAACACAATTTTATTAGATATTCAAATATTCTATTTAAGAAAATTGAAAATGTGCACATTTTAAGAATAAACCTTTAAAAAAATATCTGTGTAAAAGGTGTTGATAGACTTTTTAACATTTCTAATAAAATACAACAACAAAACGTAATTAGATATATATTTGTTTAAATTAAACTATTTCAAAAGAAAAATACTTCTAAGGGACTGTCCTTGGGATTTCAAATGATACTCCTATTAAAAAAGGGGGCATGCCTGATTCACAATAGTACCCTTAACCTGATCAATAATTTGACAGCTATTGTTAATTTCCCTCACTTGAAAAAGAGATTTATTCCTGAATGTTTCCTCAATTGTTTCTGCTGAAGAAATGAAAAAATTTTCTAGTGAAAGTAACCACACACTTCTGAATCAATTTTTATCATTCTATCAGACACAGTCTGTCAGACACTCTCCACTAAACTCTACTGTTTCTTCGGTCAGTGTACTGCAAATCACTGCAGTACACACCGGAAGCTTAGTTGAGGGTGAATCTAACACTCCCGTCTACAACTGGAGAGTCTAAAGTACCTTATTAATAAAACAAATTGAGTTTTTGCCACAAGTTCTGATTTTCTAATTCTCATATCTTTGCAACTTGATGTCTGAGACCTTGGATTTTTCAAACTATGGAATCTGTTTGATCAAATTGTCTAAGTTTGAAATATAAAAGGTTTGTAATATATTCTTTATCAATGTGTAATGTTATCTATGTTATCCATGCTAGTAATATATATATCTTAATTATCTGTATGTTGACCCTGCCGGGCTAGCCCGGTCAGTTTCGTTCATCTGTATATAAAATAAATTAGTTAAATGAGATTAGTCGTTTAATAAGGACGTATACATAGCCTTAAGTTTTGGCTAAGAATAGAGAGCCAGTAGTTTGGCAAGAGATAGAGTCATTTAGATTCTAATTAGACTTTGAGTAGAGTTATCATTACGTTATCTCGGATCTAGATATCTTACATGGTTTACACTATCGGACTGCAAATATATAGGGATTAGAATATTTCAGATTCTGTCTTAAACTCAATTGCTTTTACCTGTTGAGATTGGTTCTGTGTTTCATTGTTTGAGTTCTCCTCATCCGACCAAAATTCTTAAATAAATTTGTTATATTTCAAACATATGACAAATCTAATCACGACAAAGATCTTTGTTTCATATACAGAATGTTTAATTCAATGCAAACTAGTCAGCAGAATAAGGTCAAATGCCACGGTACGTCATGCATGCCGAGGTAGAAAGGAGTGTGATCGACGAGGCCGATGTCCTGTTACATAAGATTATAGAAGTCTCAATAACTCAGAATGATAACATATTTTCACAAGTTTATTTATTCATATGTTACTCGTTTAACATACTAAGAATGACTAATGTAAAATCCGAGATTGAACAAGTTTGCGAAAAATCAGTGAAACTGTTTGCGCATTTATGCAAACTCAATTCTAATTTTAACATTTAGGACAAAATCATATTTTCTTATAACTAAAAGTCAGGCTTCTACAGGATCTAATTTATAAACTGATCAACAGTTTGTATCGTTTAATCTGTAAAAATAGTTTTGTGTACAACCAAGTGTTGTTATTCCAGTTAATCTCGGCCAGTTACCATCAGTCCTTTTTCAAGTCTATAATAACTTTCAGAGTGGTATATATCACGTTAGTAGGTCAAATTGGTCTAGGATAGGTCATGTACTGTAAAAACTCTGGCTGCTCCATCAAAGTTAAAAACTGGGATGGGATAGAATTGGGCAGGTCCTTTCCACAAGTCATGAAAGCCAGTGCAGAACAAAGGGTCGGTCCGTGTTTAATTAAAATTGACTCTAGTCTACAGTGATAGCTTAATGCTACCTGGATCCTCAAGAAGGTTAGAGGGAAACTCCTCCTCTTCTGAACCAGGCACTGCAAACTAGACATCAGAAGAAACTAAAGTTTACTGGTAGAGCTTTGTGACCTTGCAGCTCCTCTAGTCTAGCTGAGGAGTCATGATCAACATATAAATATTCAATCTTACATGCAGTTTACTTTAGTTTGATGTGTAGGGATAACAAGGATACCAGGGATACCAGGGATAACAGGTATACCATGGATACCTATGATACAACGGATATCAGGGATACCCGGGATACCAGGGTTACCAGAGAAACCAAGGAAACCAGGGACACCAGGGATACCAGGGATACCAGGAATACCGGGATACAAGGAATAGTATGGATACCAGTGATACCAGGGATACCAGGGAAACCAGGGATACCANTGTATAATGTATATTTAATGCTGACTTTGCGAGAAGAAATAAGATATTATAAACTTTTCCGATGTTAAAAGGTTCAAACCCCCCTCCCTCCTCCTCCACATACCACCTTATTAAACCCCCCTCCCTCCTCCTCCACATACCACCTTCATTAAACTCCCCTCTTCCTCCACATACCACATTCATTAAACCCCCCTCCCTCCTCCTCCACATACCACCTTCATTAAACCCCCCTCACTCCTCCTCCACATACCACCTTCATTAAAACTTTTGGAAGGAAAAGTTAACAATCAATATCAAACAATCCCTTTAGGATGGATTAGTAACTAACCTCATTATAATCCTCTTGATGTTGATCCTCTTGATCTTGATCCTCTAGATTCTGTAGAATATTAAACAGATCAGATTCACTTAGATTCTCTAGATAAATGCAAGTTAAGATTAATGTTTTCTCCCTAAAGGGCAATAATTATAATAAGAAAAGATTTGAAACTACAAAGCAAAACTTTTTTCATTCTATGGTAGAAGATTTTTCATTCTATGGTACAAGATTTTTCTTTCTATGGTACAAGATTTTTCATTCTATGGTACAAGATTTTTCATTCTATGGTACAAGATTTTTCATTCTATGGTACAAGATTTTTCTTTAAAGTAACACATTAAATGTTCTATATAATTTCACCACTGGACTGCTTTGACGGAAGCTAAAAGGTATCAGAATAGATTGGAACAGGTATTAGAAAATATTGGAAAAGGTATTAGAATATATGGGAAAAGGTATTAGAATATATGGGAAAAGGTATTAGAATAGATTGGAAAAGGTATAAGAATATATGGGAAAAGGTATTAGAATAGATTGGAACAGGTTTTAGAATAGATTGGAAAGGGTATTAGAATAGATTGGGAAAGGTATTAAAATATATAGAAAAAGGTATTAAAATAGATTGGAAAAGGTATTAGAATAGATTGGAACAGGTATTAGAATAGATTGGAAAAGGTATTAGAATAGATTGGAAAAGGTATTAGAATAGATTGGAAAAGGTATTATAATATATTGGAAAAGGTATTAGAATAGATTGGAAAAGGTAATAGAATAGACTGGAAAAGGTATTAGAATATACTGGAACAGGTATTAGAATAGATTGGAACAGGTATTAGAATATATTGGAACAGTTATTAGAATATATTGGAACAGGTATTAGAATAGATTGGAACAGGTATTAGAATAGATTGGTACAGGTATTAGAATAGATAGGAAAAGGTTTTAGAATAGATTGGAAAAGGTATTAGAATAGATTGGAACAGGTATCAGAATATATTGGAACAGGTATTAGAATATATTGGAACAGGTATTAGAATAGATTGGAACAGGTATTAGAATATATTGGAACAGGTATTAGAATAGATTGGAAAAGGTATTAGAATAGATTGGAAAAGGTATTAGAATAGATTGGAAAAGGTATTAGAATAGATTGGAACAGGTATTAGAATAGATTGGGAAAGGTATTAGAATAGATAGGAAAAGGTATTAGAATAGATTGGAAAAGGTATTAGAATAGATTGGAAAAGGTATTAGAATAGATTGGAACAGGTATTAGAATAGATTGGGAAAGGTATTAGAATAGATAGGAAAAGGTATTAGAATAGATTGGAAAAGGTATTAGAATAGATTAGAAAAGGTATTAGAATAGATTGGAATAGGTATTAGAATAGATTAGAAAAGAATTTAAAAAAGATTGAAATAAGGATTTAAATAGATTAGAATGGAAAAGGTAATTATTATGATTGGAATTGGGATTTTGAAAAAAAAAACTATCCCTGAAGGAAGAATAACAATTGTAATTAAATAATTTGATTAGATAAAAGCAAATGCTTGTCATAACCAACAAAACTAAATCCTGTATAAATGAGGATAAAGCTCATATATAAATATAATTATATGTTAGCTATAGCTGGTCAAACGGCTAGACCAAATTAGCTGAATATATATAAAGTAATATATATATTTGAAAGCATCATAAAAGAATTCTATATCTGGATTATACACTGTTAGAAAAACCCGCTTACAATCAACAGTATTTAGTTCACGCACCAAGCCATGAAGATCCGTTGTAATATATCAACGATAATTCTTTATTCATCCTAGCCTGTTTCGTACGTACGCTGTTTTCATTTGTGAAATTACGACAAATATAACAATAATGAAGATATTATAGTTTTAGGGTTGTTTACATCACATGGCAGTGCAAGTCAATTTTTTGTCAAAAGCAATAGAAATAGCCCCTAGCCAATAGCAAAAAAAAAGAATTGAGCTACAAAGACTAATTATCAAAAAAAAATATTTTTACAAGTATTTTTATGATCCGGTGAAAACTCCCCATCATGTTAAAAATTTAAAGTTCTGGCATTTTAAAAAATGGCTATAAAAAATTGTTATCAATGAACATGAATTTCACTAAAATGCATTACGGATGTCTTTTTCTATGTGACTAACTATTTTATTAAAAAGAGAAATTACCTAAATAGTTGATATTTAACGGTAGTTGGTTTAATTACCTAAATAGTTGATATTTAACGGTAGTTGGTTTAATTACCTAAATATAGTTGATATTTAACGGTAGTTGGCTTAATTACCTAAATAGTTGATATTTAACGGTAGTTGGTTTAATTACCTAAATAAAGTTGATATTTAACGGTAGTTGGCTTAATTACCTAAATAGTTGATATTTAACGGTAGTTGGTTTAATTACCTAAATAGTTGATATTTAACGGTAGTTGGTTTAAACCTCGGCCACTCTTCTCAAATCTTTCTGGTTCATCGTTCTCTAGTCTCAGGGGCGTTTTATTCATTAGTATCAGGGGCCGATTACTCTCGAATCCTGCATCCTTGTTGTTTAGCCCCTGGTTACCGCGTAGCTTGTTCAGTTTTGTCTTGTAAATATTTTGAGATTGTTCTGTTACTCTGCGAAAATTGTATTTTTTTCTTCTCATTTTAAAGTTTGTGAAATTAATCTATTAAAATAAATCATAAATACAGTTCACCCATTATTTTGTTTTGTATTTTTCACTTAAGTTTAAATATAATTTAGAAGGAAAAAGTGCTAGCCCCAAACATCTAAAGGAGCTGAGTTTTTGCCACAAACTCAAATTTTCTAATCTCTATATCTTTGTAACCCAATGTTCTAGACCTTAGATATTTCAAACTATTAATGCTTATAGATTAAATATTCTAAGTTTGAAATATAAAAGGTTTGCATCATCAGGTTGCAAAGATATCTAGGGTAAAAACTTTTAATCTCTTATTGTACAATAGATACGGATGAGTGTTCTAATTAACAACACAAAATTTTCGATCGACCTTATGTTTTTTAACATTTGAAATGTAAAATAAAGGCTTGAAGGGTTCTTCGCGCCCCTTTTCCTGTAACTAATTCTAGTTGTTTTAAATTTTCAAAACGGATTTTTCTATGCGACCCTGAATTTTAACACAGCTAACCAAAAAATATTCTGGGGTTCCTATATAGATATTTCTTAAACTATAAGTAAGTACCTTTCTAACTCTAAGCAAAGGAAAGTTTAAATTAGCTGAGTTTACACTTTTTACAGATTACATGCATTGTCCTTTTAACAAGGAGCTTAAGTATTACAATTTAAACAGGGTACAAGTACTGTAAAGTTGTATTGTTAAAAACTTTGATTGTAGAATATAAGGTTTAGTCGAGATGGACAACTAAAGACGCTGTAGAATAAAAAATATCGATTTTTGGCGGTGTTCCGTCAAAGATGCAGGTTTTTAAAAAAATTAGAAAAGATTTTATTTATAGACGGAAAAGCAATTTGGAGATCGGTATAGAACAAACGTTAATAATTAATAATAAAAAAAAACACGTAAAATAAAAAAGAACTATGTGGCGTAAAGGGCTACTTTATGAATTACAGGAAACCTGTGAACTGAACGAAACATTTATTTCATAGCTAACGAACACGGACACCAGGAACATTTGGTCTTTCCCGTTATTCTAACGAACCGTTAAAAGGAATGATCGCGAAAATGAAAGAAAAATAATCGCCTTTGATCGCTACTAATCTTACTTCTATCTGTTGCATCTATAAGGAGAAAATTGTTAAAAACGACTTAAATTAAAGAACGTTCAAACAAATTCAGTTGCAATATATGACTCATATCATTAAATAATTAATTTTTTTACGATCCTAGTTGTATTTTGCAATTTTCTGAATTTGTATGGACGGTACGTTGTTCAGTATTTTTAACAATTTTTTCCTTATAACAGATAAAAGTAAGATTAGTAGCGATAAAAAGCGATGATTTTTCGCCGAAAGGGTTTACCTCATTTTATTTTTCGCGAACACTTCCTTCAATTTTAACAAATTCAACGCAAACTTTTCGCCATACACTGCATGACTTGTGTTGTGCTTTATCTCCTAGCGGTACTACAACGTGTCATTGTAAACTTTAGTATTTCCTAGTACTTGTTTACCATGATTAAACTTCCATAGATATTATTATTTGTTTAAAGATTTAAGTTTCTAGGCTGATAAGAAATATAACTTTAAACTTTAGAATTAAGATTTAGAATATACTTTCAGAATTAAGATTTAGAATATATTTTCTTTTTCAACAAACATATTTATCGGAAATATAACGAATTCGTAAATTGAACGTTGGATATTAAAGGGAATGTGGGAAATTTGTTTGAGAAAATTTTTAAAAACGTTATCGTTTATATTTCATAATATTTTTATTTTTTATGATCTGATGGCTACTTTTGAAAACATTTATTTCGGTTTCGAGGATTTATGATAATGAAGACGACATTTTCATATTTCCAGGAATATTCGAAAATCCAGCGCCAGCAAAATATTATTTTTTTTAAATCAAAAATGTTGTGAAATATTAACTATGCGCCGAAAAAAGACCGATGACTATTGTTTGTAATATCTGAATAATTTGTTTGGAATTAAATTGATTATTTTAAGACCCGAGTTGAATGTTGCAACTTTCTGAATTTGTATGGACGCTACGTTCTTCAGTATAAATCATTTTTAACAATTGTCTCCTTATAGACGCAACAGATAGAAGTAAGATTAGTAGCAATTAACAGCGATTTTTTTTTCGCCGTAAGCCTATACCCCCTTTCATTTTTCACGAATGCTCACTTTAATGATAGATACAATTGTTATTTTAGTGTTAAAGAACTCTTGAAGCAAGTAATGATGTTAAGGTTTATTAAGAAGTCCTGTCATAAGATTCTGTTCAAAGACAAAAATATTTTTTTGACCGCAAATTTTTTTTACAAAACGATATATACAAAATTTTTATTTGTTGTTTGCAAACAATATTAAGAAATTCGAGATAATAAAAAATATTCCTTTTTGTGATCAATGTTTTGTAGAATTCTTTAAACGTCATGCACTCCCTAGCTGTAAACTGGTTGTATAATCGTACTGCAAACATAAACAATTATATTTTGCCATGTCATTAATTAGATCTTAAAATATTTTAGAATTTTTAATTAAAAAAATATAATGGTTCCTAAAATATAATGGTTCCTAAAAGCTTTTTTTCTGCAGAATTGAACTGTAATGTTTCAGATATACGTAAATGTACAATATTTTTATAATTAGCCGATTCATTTTTCAAATCTCAATTACATCTTACAAACAAAAGAAACAAACTTGTAAACAAAACTCAAAATATAATTTATATATTTTGAATTTTTGAAATATATAAACATAAAAATGCAGAACCTACAGAACTACAAATTAATAGAAAATGAAATATTATTACTTATAATTTCATAATTAAATAATCTAGAAAATTATCTTAAATTCTGAAAAATAGTTTTAAAGTTCTGAAACAATTATCTTAAAATCTGAAAAATAGTTTTAAAGTTCTGAAACAATTGTTTTAAAGTTCTGAAAAATAGTTTTAAAGTTCTGAAAAATAATTTTAAAGTTCTGAAACAATTGTTTTAAAGTTCTGAAACAATTGTTTTAAAGTTCTGAAACAATTGTTTTAAAGTTCTGAAACAATTGTTTTAAAATCTGAAAAATAGTTTTAAAGTTCTGAAACAATTGTTTTAAAGTTCTGAAAAATAGTTTTAAAGTTCTGAAACAATTTCTGTCTTCAATTGTTGGACATAAAAATCTGCATTGTCAAGAGATTGTCGTAAAAATACTATGCAAATTTTTCAAAGTTACTAAAGGTTTAAAATGTGTATAAATGAGTAAAAACTGAAATATCCAGATATCTATCTATCCAGATATCTATATATCCAGATATCTATATATCCAGATATCTATATATCCAGATATCTATATATCCAGATATCTATACATCCAGATATCTATACATCCAGATATCTATATATCCAGATATCTATATATCCAGATGTCTATATATCCAGATATCTATATATCCAGATATCTATGTATCCAGATATCTATATATCCAGATATATATCTATCTTTTATCCACATATCTGCCTGATTATGCATACTAACAGTCTGGAACTTGAAGTCCTCAGGTAGAACAACTCGGGAAAAGCTAAATTATTCAATAATTTAAAAAAAAACTCATTCTGAAAACGTAGGCCAACCCCAAAGTAGGAGTTTTGAACCCCCAAACTCAGGATTTACAGATCTTAAAAAAGTTTAATATGTCTCAAATGAATCCGAATGAAGTTTTCCACAACACTGCATACTCAGTTCAACTACCTTACATAGCCGGTCACTCCCTTTAAGTCGGATGGTTGGAAAATGACTCTATGGTTTTTCCTTCCTTCAATTTCAAGTGACCCTCCATGCAAAGATGGTATTGTTCGATTCACAACGGTACCCTTAAATGCTTTTTTCTGATCTAGTATGAAGTAAATATCAAATAATTTTAAAAACTGATTATTTTCAACGGTGGTTATTTTCTACTTTGGGAAGACATTTACAACATTTTCAGATTTAAAAAAAACGACAATATCTTCATTATTTTTGATCAGATAAAGGTACGGTTGTAAATCGGGCAATGCCATCCTAGAAATTCCGATTACATTAAAAATTCAGAAGCGTACTTTTCAATATTTGTCTAGTAAATAAATATACTCTAACGCTAGAAGTCATCGACCTTTATATTTTAAACTATAGAATAAAATTATGTAAAGAAATCAGATAGAATTATAAATGCATAAAAAGAGAGTTAAAAAATATATTCACTTACCTTATCGTTAAGAATAAAAAAAGTAGAGCTATAAAACCAAATTTGAAGATTAACATTTTCTGAAATTTTGCAAATGAACGGTCAATTCATATCCTTTTTAGAGGAGTATTAAATAATAATCATCCGAAATGGATCTAAACTTAGGCAGAGAAAGGTTAAAACTTTAAGTAAATATTTCTATAACATATTCTGTTCAGATACGCAAATATTATTTCCCCAAAAACACATGATTTTGAAACTTAGGACATAAAACGGAATTCATCCCTCAGCCATATTTTAAATTTCAATTTCATAAGTTGGACACTCTATTTTTCTTCTATACTTTGCTTGTATGTTTGTCCTGACAAGACCCCAGGGAATGTTTATAGATGATCACAATTTCAAAATTTGCCTCCAACCAAGTTCATTTTGCATTAACTTCTGAAATTTCACGAATTTTTTTTTAAAATCCGCGAACTTTTTTGTTAGTTTTTGTTTTGACAATGTATACAAAGTGTTCACAATTGAAATAAAAGATGGGACACAAAGCGCCCTGAAAGCCGAGTATTCTATAAATTGAATAGTTCTGTTTTTCCTATCTACGAAAAGTATCTGGAAAATGTGATAAACTAATTGTACACCCGAACATTTCATGGAGAGAATTTAATATTCTTTGTCTCAGAATTATCTTTTAGATGATACAAAGGCTTATTCGCCAGTGGCATTAATAAAAGTTTTAAATAAAAAAGCAAATCCTGCTATATTGTTCATAGAAAATATCACAAAATTCATTTCTTGAATTTTATCTTTTTTACAGGGTTTCTTACACAGGATGATACTTTGATGATAAACTGAAACTCTGATCGAGGATATCAAGAATTGAAGTTATGTAATCAGTGTGAGCTCAATAGCTCGGAATAGGGATAGTTACATTGATGTAACCCCTTCAGTTCTCATCCAAACCCGGAGCTAAACTCAGATTGAATAGTTCCATTGATGTAACCCCTTCAGTCCTCATACAGACCCAAAGCTATAAGCTCGGATTGCAAGTAGTCCGGTCTATAAACAGGACAACGTATTAGCTCTTTTGTATAATAGGTCGGATAGAAAGTGGGGCGGATGATAAGTCGCCCCGTGTATAGTGTATTCAGATTCTATCCGTTAAAGAATGTCATCCATAGATCAGACTTTTAACACATGGAATGCTTTCAAAGCGTGGAAAATTCCAGCAGCCGTTAAACTCTCTACATAAAACACAGGCCAATTTAAATTTAGGCCACGAAGCTTTGATACAGGATAAAGCGGAAAATAAGGTTTGCGAGGATAAAACCGAAATACAGCCAGTCGACAGGAAGAATAATTTGTCGTATAAGGTGAATGAAAGGCCGAGAGTTTGCCAGAGAGCTTCGGCTTTCTTAGATTCATTAGGATCAGCCATTATTTGTTCTTTTTTACATTGTAAATAGATTTTTTCCTATACTCTGTAGATTTACTCACATCAGTTATAAGCTTTAGATTTATTTTCCATCACTTTTAAATGGAAACAATGGTAACTGATAAACTTGGAGTTTTCTCTTAAACCGTATTTTGAAATATTTCGTAAATAAAGCATTCGTTTACTTTATAATTTGTTTAAAAATGATTAACGAACAGTTTTATGTAAAAATCTGAATGAATGATTGAAATGTGTTAGTGGACAATTTGTCTAAAAATTTTGTTAAACAATATTTATCGTTTACAAAGTTACCAGATGATCAGAATTAAAAAATACCTCTCATTTATGAACTGCTAGATCTAATATCAAACAATTTCTCTGTTAACGATTTTAACTTTAGCTTTAGGTTGCCATAAAGGTAGAATAAAAAAAATACTGACTCCGTACAATCATCCCTGAAGTCTCATTCTTTGTGGGTAACCCTGATTGTAATTTAGGATTAACAAGTCATGTTAATTATTATTTGTTACTTTCAACGGGCGAAAGTATAAAAAATTAAACAAAATATTGGCGCAATTTCACTTGCATCATGCGCACATGGGCACACAGCTGAAGCTAAACTGAATATTTAAGTGAAAGGGAAAATTTACGCAAGAATGCGGAAACAAAATCCCGCAAATTATCTGCGTAACAAATTATATAAGTTTAACTAGATAACCGACAATTTATAAACTTTTAGCAGTTTACGTTTCTCTTTGCAAGCAAATGTAAAGATTTTAAGGGTTTACTTAACATTTTAAACTTCATCCATAGTATGTCTGTGAAACTCTAAAACGTCAACAGTTAGATTCCACTCAAATTTTTTTTGTTTTAAAGGGACTAGACATAATTTTTATGTGTAAAGAGTGAAACGATCGATACATGATTGTACCCTTTAAAGCGTGCCAGCTTTCTAAGTAACAATTTGCAGGATACCGTCATTTTTCTATCTTAAAATGTGTTGTTTCGATCATGACTGTGGTAGAGAAGTAGGTTTTACTGAAAACCAGAATAAAAAAAAACAATTTTTCGAGAAAAAATAAGGTTATCTTGTTAATCCTTGATCTGAGGATAGAGTTGTGAATCGTGGCACTTTAATAATGGAAACTCACTTGAAATTAGGTCTACGTATAATACACTACATACACAACATACACTAAATACACTACATACACTACATACACTACGTACACTACATACAGTACATACATACACTACATACACTACATTCACTACATACACTACAAACACTACATACACTACATACACTACATACACTACATTCACTACATACACTACATACACTACATACACTACATACACTACATACACTAAATACACTACATACAATACATACATACACTACATACATACACTACATACACTACATACACTACATACACTACATACACTACATACATAAACTACATACATACACTACATACACTACATATATACACTACATACACTACATACATACACTACATACATACACTACATACACTACATACACTACATACACAACATACACTACATACACTACATACACTACATACACTACATACACTACATACACTACATACACTACATACACTACATACACTACATACACTACATACACTACATACACTAAATACACTACATACAATACATACATACACTACATACATACACTACATACACTACATACACTACATACACTACATACACTACATACACTACATACACTACATACACTACATACACTACATACACTACAAACGCAACATCCATACACTACATACACTACATGAATACACAACATACAGTTAAAAAAATATACTTCCTCTTTAATCTAAAAATTTTAAAACGTTAGGAATTTCTTTATTAGATTAGTTCCGTTTAAAAATAATCAAAAACAAGTCAATGTATTGATTGACCTACATTTCTAAATATAAATTGGTTAAAATTAAACCATATAATTCATCAATAAAAACTAGACTTTCAGTCGACCAGTGCAGAACTAAGGCACTGAGGGGAGAAAAATTACCAGAGCAAATCTGATTTATTTCATTTTTAATAAAACAGATTCAAGCATATTCAAAGATATTTGTAACATTTACTTTTAATCTCAACCTTATGTTTACTCTCCACGTCATTAGAGGATTCTTGACGGAACAATTTCCAAAACTAGTTTTTCAGATATCTTGCTTTATTAGGATTTTTTATATGCTGGCTTTTTTATTGAGAGATAAGAATTTGGATTTAGATAAGTTTAGTTTAGGTTAGTTTAGACTAGTTTAGTACGGACTCATTCTTCATCATGATTCGTTCACTCATCCCCCTCTCCATCCTTATCATCTATACTCAGGTTTCATCCATAAATATCCTACCCATCCATCCTTATCATCTATACTCAGGTTTCATCCATACATATCCTACTCATCCAACCTTATCATATATACTCAGGTTTCATCCATATATATCCTACTCATCCATCCTTGGCATTTATACTCAGGTTTCATCCATATATCCATCTCATCCATCCTTATAATCTATACTCAGGTTTCATCCATATATATCCTACTCATCCATCCTTATCATCTATACTCAGGTTTCCTACTCATCCATCCTTATCATCTATACTCAGGTTTAATCCATAAATATCCTGCTCCTCCATACTTATCATTTATACTCAGGTTTCATCCATATATATATCCTACTCATCCATCCTTATCATTTAAACTCAGGTTTCATCCATATATATCCTACTCATCCATCCTTATCATCTATACTCAGGTTTCATCCATATATATCCTACTCATCCATCCTTATCATCTATACTCAGGTTTCATCCATAATTATCCTACTCATCCAACCTTATCATCTATACTCAAGTTTTATCCATATATATATATCCTACCCATCCATCCTTATCATCTATACTCAAGTATCATCTATATATATCCTACTCATCCATCCTTATCATCTATAATCAAGTTTCATCCATATATATCCTACCTTAGATTAATTTGTCCATTTTATTAGGCTGAGTGTCCCTTCAGTTCCTCTGCCTGTCCAGTAGACCTGGATAATGTTGTAGACGTTTTCTATTTTGATATCCTAGATACTTCCAGCTGTCAGCATCAGTGCCAGCGTATCAGGTCCGGTATCAAGGTTACTCTCGATGTGCTCCAATTTACGGAAAATGTCGTCTCATAGCATAGATAGATAGAATCTGCAAATTAGACGCTTGCCTTTATAATCAGTGACGTCATATGCGGATTCTATCTATCTATGCTAAGGAGACAATATTTTCCGTAAATTGGAGCCCATCCAGAGTAACTAACCATATTAAAGAACCTTGTTTGATATATAGACCATTCATGATTTGGTTTTCTATAAAAACTAAAAACACAAGATTTGGATTGACATGCAAGATGTTAATTCACGAAAATTAGACAGATCTACATTTTCCTGGACATGTAAAAGAAAGAAATTCGTGACGGAACGATTCAATGAAAAAAATTACAGATATGTTACAACGAAAATGAAAATTTAAGATAAATTAGAAGGTTAAAAAGAGAAATCTATCAAGTATTATCAAAGATATCGGAAAAGAGAAGGTTGGGTTGTTTTTAGAGAGAACAATTTGGCTTCATCATATTTTTGTATCAATGAACGAATTAAATAAAAATAGCCAAACTCAGATTCACTTTATATTAAATGCTAATATTAATTAGAATAAAACAACTCAGGCAAATCTGCCCCTTTAGTAAAAGTAAATTCAACCTATATGAAGCATATAAAGCCCGACCGCGTCAACCTTGATGCACCGGCTAGTCCTGTCCATAGAGCTAGGTACAGTACAAACTGGGACCGGAAAGGTTGACCTGGCTCGGAAATTCAAATGTACTACGGCTGCCCGTGAACTAGGGGTTTGATGAAAATCTATATTTTTGATTCAAAAACTACATTTTTCATAAAAAGTCACCTTTTTAATAAAAATTCGACTTCTTTAATAAAAATACTATATTTTCATCTACATTTTTAATAAAAAAAAACTACATCTAAAAAAATACATCTTTTATTTAAAAACTATGTCATTTTTTAAAAAGTCAAAATTTTTAATGAAAAACCAAACCTTTTTTAGTTCCTGTTCACACTTCACGATGCTGACTTCTGCGGATAACAAGCATAACAAGGAATAATATCATCATCATTATTATTATTATTATCATTATAATTTTGATAAAATAAAAAGAAGGCTGAAGGAAATTGTACAGTTGCCTAAAACTCAAAATTTATAACGCCTAAAGTTTTGCAACTTGGTAGTGTAAATCTGTGCTTTGCAAAGTTGAAAAGATCAGAAAATTAAATCTTGAGTCAAATTATCAGTTCTGAAACCTTTTTCCAGAAAATATTAACTGTAGACAAATCACGATGTTGCATTGAATTTTTTCACAAAATGTACGAAGGAATAGTTTAAATAATGTTGTTAGGATCTCATTGTAACAAAATGTACGAAGGAATATCTTTTAATTTGATGAACTGGCAGTGTTCTGTCTGTCAGGCATCTTTAAATGGTCGTTTATAACTTATCGTTTTGTAAGATATGAAGAGATGTTTTATCCCATGAAAAATGACAGTAGGAAGACGACTTGAAGGTTGTCTATTAACTTATAATTGATGTGTGATATTCAGTCGTTAACCTACTTTCACATGTATATGATTCTTGAAACAATAACTACAAAATTCTCCTAGATATAGCATTTCAAAAAGTGGTATGAATAATTGCCGCAAAGTATTTCAAAGATCAATGACGACCTTCATTGTGTCTTGCTACTGTCATGTTGCACAGGACACCCTGTATGTAAATTCATAAATTTCTGATATGCATGAAAAATATTTGTTCCGCCAGTGTTTCCTGTTCAAATCTTGTGATAACCAGGAAAACTGTGATGACTGTGTTTCAGGTTAATATTTGTTTTTTATATTTTATATTCCATAATTTTTATTCCTTACTCTAATTTCAACTTCATATTTCATATTTCATGGTTAATATTTTGAATTATAATCTCCTATATCCTTTTCGATTTGATTTGATAACAATCCCTTTAGGTATGGTATGTTTCTAATTTTGGCAAACTAATTAATTTTTAATTAGGAGCTGAGGAGCCGCCATTTTATGAATGCCGCGAAACTGGTTTATCTTCTCAGTACAAGCCACGTGCAGAGAGACATGAGGATAACGCACCCTACACATGTACTACTGATGTTGTTAATGTTGTTGATGTTTACTATTTTGACCAGGATGATGACGTCAGCTGTCCACATCAGGTAAACCCCCCCCCCCCAAACCATTCCCTTCTGTTGCATGATACAATATTGGGGTACATATTCTGAATAATACAAGATTGTGAGAAGGAGAATGGGCATCAAATGGAAAACTTCATAATCAAATGTACACCCTTTTCGTTTGTTTCAAAAAAATAATGTTGTTTTATTTATCAAAACATTCCAAGTCTCTCTTCCGTCATTCATTTTTTTTCTTTAATGACACCATCATTCACGAAAAATTTGTTTGTTCAAAAAAAACAATGCCCATCTCTGTGCACAATATGCTTTTAACACTATTTGGTTAATTTCAGAGTTTTAAACTATTTGAAGAATTTTTTGATTAACACAATATTGCTAGGTAACGCATTTGTTAATTAAAGAAAACAATGCAGATTCTAAGAATTCTGCAAAATAACAAAGTACTCGGCCATTTTAAATTAACCTACCAGAGAAACAGGGAAGGTTAGTTGAATGTAGTCTTAAATAGGCTGACTAATGAATTGGCATAGAAAAAAAGAACTTTAAAGTCAGGGGCGTACGAGGGTCAAATTGTGCCCCCCCCCCTAAACAAAAGCCCTCGTACGCCCCTGTTTAAAGTGGCAGGGAATCTTGAATATAAGGAAATGGACAGTATAACTATCGTACAATCCTCTCTCAAGCTAAAAAGTTAATTTCCACATGAGGCTCTTAAACAGATTTTAGAAATTTTCAAAACATATGTTCTTCCAGTGAACTTTGCGTTATTTGCCTTCATTGAAATCTCTTATTAATAACCCTCATTTCTAGTGCGGAGCTCTACCTGAATGCAACTACTGGAGTCAGCTGGTAGTATCAGATCCTGTACACCCACACAACAAGTGCTTTCTATTTAACAGCTGTGATACACAGGAGGCATGTACAAACTGTGTGACAGGCAGCGCGTGAGCACTCGGCATTGCACAGGCGTAGATCTTATAAAAGTAAGTTCATTAAGAAAGAAGAGAAATGTGTCTCTAAATTTTCAAGGGACAAATTTTGTTTTGAAATGCTTAATGCTAGGAGCGAAGATGTCTAGTAACTAAGTTTATTCATTATGTTCACTGAGTTCACATCACTTTCAGTCACGCTCAAATGAAGAGTTGAGGTGAACGATTAATTGATTAAAATATGGTCTTTGATATGCAAAGTCATAGAAATTAGACAGAATATTCTTAATTCTCAGTTGCGTTCTATAAAGTAAAAAAGGTAGTATGAATTGTTAAATCTATACTCGAATGAGCAGAATAAAATTTGGAATTCATGTATTTAAATTTTCAGTTTTATAATTGAATGACTTACGGCTTGAGTGGTATCAAGCAATTTACATAGATTCTTTTCTCTTAGCAAAAAAGCATTTTTAACCATTTCCTCTATGGATAGAAGTTAAACTATAAGTAGCCATTTAATCCAACCTTATTCGTATTCTTCTTATACACCCTTTAACTTTTCGCGAACACTCCCTTTAAATTATTTTTTCCCCAGTACACAATTTTTTTTAATTTAGATGTGCTGTCTGTGCTGTTGAAATTAGGTTAAGGATACTGATGTAGCATATATTTATTTGCATGGAATATAATTTAAGAATAAAACTATTTTAAATATTTATTTCAAAATTATTCTATAAAACCTACGGCAGCAGCAAGTCAGGGTAACATACATAATTTAAAATAAGGTAAAAATAACTATTTTGTTACATTCGATTTTAAGCTTGAAACAAGATAGATTAGTTAGAAGTAGATTTAGTTTAGATTAGTTATAGAGTAAAGTTAGATTCGATAGAACCAATTTAGAATTTAGATTAGTTAGAACCAAGTTATATTAGTTAAAAGCAAGTTAGATCAGTTAGAACCAAGTTAGATTAGTTAAAACCAAGTTATATTAGTTAGATGCAAGTTAGATCAGTTAAAACCAGGTTAGAATAGTTAGAACCAAGTTAGATGAGTAAAAACCAAGATAGATTAGTTAGAACCAAGATATATTAGTTAGATGCAAGTTAGATCAGTTAAAACCAAGTTAGAATAGTTAGAACCAAGTTAGATTAGTTAGAATCAAGATATATTAGTTAGAACCAACTTAGATTAGTTAAAACCGAGATAGATTAGTTAGAACCAAGTTAGAATAGTTAAATCACGTTAGATTAGTTAGAACCAAGTTAGAATAGTTAAATCAAGTTAGATTAGTTAGAACCAAGTTAGATTAGTTAGAACCAAGTTAGATTAGTAAAAACCAAGTATTATTGTTAGATTTAAATTAGATTAGTTAGAACCAAGTTAGATTAGTTAGAATAAAGTTAGATTAGTTAGATCTAAATCAGATTAATTATATATAAATTAGAATAGTTAGAAGCTAGTTCGATTATTTAGAATTTAGATTAGTTAGACCCAAGTTAGATTAGTTAGATCTAAATCAGATTAGTTAGAATAAAGTTAAATTTATTATAATATAGTTTGATTAGTTAGATCTATAAATCACTGTTACGCGAGCCATGCTGCGTGTAGAAAGTCTGCTTGTCACCCCTGGGTATTTCTGAGTTCTCCCTGAAGATCTGTACGGAATGTATTGTGAAAGAACTAGTTTAGGAACTGTTTTCAGACCGACTGCGCAGACGCAAGATTTCTCGCGGAGTAGTAAATAATTTATATCAGTATATGTTTATTCGTTTTGCAAGTATTAGCCGTGTTCAGAATTCTGGGATCACTGTGGTAACTATTTTATATATATTTATGCTTATCGGTTTGATTATAGTATGATTGATATTTATATACATGTTTATTAGTTCCTAGCCACAGTTTTTTAATGCCTGAGTGAATTATTTGTTGTAGTTGTATGATTTGTCACTCAAAGCTTTTTCTGTGGGTTTATTAAACTTATTTAGATTGAAGGCTCAGAGAAATAAACGTTCGGAACCTTACTATCATCCTTTTTATTATGAAGAGCGTTGAGAGAAGGGAGTCTTACGATCCGGTCCTGAGAAATACCACACGGTATATATATTAGGTCTTTAGGGAAATCGCTAAGTAGCTAAACAATCACATTAGTTATATATAAATTAGAATAGTCAGAAGCTAGTTCGATTATTTAGAATAAGGTTAGATTAGATTGACCCAAGTTAGATTAGTTAGATCTAAATCATATTAGCTAGAACAAAGTTAGATTAGTTAGAATAAAGTTAGATTTGTTAGATTTAAATCATATTAGTTAGAATAAAGTTAGATTATTTAGAATAAAGTTAGATTAGTTAGAATAAAGTTAGATTAGTTAGAATAAAGTTAGATTAGTTAGATTTAAATCATATTAGTTAGAATAAAGTTAGATTAGTTAGAATAAAGTTAGATTAGTTAGAAAAAAGTTAGATTAGTTAGAATAAAGTTAAATTAGTTAGAACCAAATTAGATTAGTTTGAACAAAGTTAGATTAGTTAGCATAAAGTTAGATTAGTTAGAATAAAGTTCGATTATCTAGAATAAAGTTAGATTATTTAGAAAAAAAGTTAGATTAGATTGACCCAAGTTAAATTAGTTAGATTTAAATCATATTAGTTAGAATAAAGTTAGATTAATTAAAATATAGTTAGATTAGTTAGAATAAAGTTAGATTAGTTAGAACAAAGTTAGATTAGTTAGAATAAAGTTAGATTAATTATGATATAGTTAGATTAGTTAGAATAAAGTTAGATTAGTTAGAACAAAGTTTGATTAGTTAGAATAAAGTTAGATTAATTATAATATAGTTAGATTAGTTAGAACAAAGTTAGATTAATTATAATATAGTTCGATTAGTTAGATTTAAATCCGATTAATTATATATAAATTAGAATAGTTAGAAGCTGGTTCGATTATTTATATGCAAATGTTTAATTAGTTATAGAAGCAAATTAGATTAATTTAGATTTCATAGTGCTTTTTTTCATACTTTAGGTTTCCATAAGTGAACAAAATAAAATTTAAACTTGTATTTAATACAGTAGTGGGCGATTACATAATTATAATGAAGAGGACTTTTTTATATAAATTTTAATTGTTAACAAGCTTTTTTTCGAATTACAAGTTTAGAAGTAATTAAAGAGAAGCTCTTTTTATTGACAGCTTTGTTTCCATGTTTGTGTATCCATGCTGTTTAAAAGCTTGATATAAATTGAAATCGAAAGTCGTCTTTATTGTATTGATATAATCGCCTACCACCTTATATATATTCAAAAGAGTTTCAAGAGAAACTACTTAGACCTTAGAAAGAATATTTAAATATTTCACATTTTTGAAGAAATGATTAAATAGCACTGTGTTCATTCAGTTAAAAAAAATTTCATTCATCGTTCGTGAACGTCCAATTTTATTCCATTTTTCGAGTAGTTCAATTAAAATATCAATTCGTTTGTTAGCTGAATCCTAGTTTTTTTTTACTTTATTTTGTTCGTTTAAACCGAATTTTCGTGTAGCAAAATCGTTCGTTCAGTTTAGTTCAGATATTTTTACGAGTAAAATTGATAGTTCAGTAAAATCACTTTTTCATCTTAATCATTTGATCAGTAAAATCACTTGCTTAGTAAAAGGTTAGGTTAGGACAGGCTGGCTGGGCCGGGTCAATCTGGGTTAGGTTAGAACAGGCTGGGTTAGGCTGGGCCGGGTCAATCTGGGTTAGGTTAGGACAGGCTGGGTTAGGCTGGGCTGGGTCAATCTGGGTTAGGTTAAGACCATAGATAAATAAATAAACATAGATAGCTTATGTACGCAAAATCACCAAGAATTGTACAGTCCGCGAACTCACACTTCTAGGGGTCAAAGTGTACTTCAATGATAAGCGGGGTGGTTTTTCTCCTTCCTTCCACAATTTTCTTTCCTGATGAGTCGGTTAATCCCATTATGTACGATATTGTTTCTGTGAAGACTCCCTTCCAGTAACCAGTGTTGGTTTTATTAAATTTCTCTTTACAGAACTCATGTACACCACAAGTACTCAATGACATAAGAACAGCCAATGTTCACAACCGACCTAGTTAATCTATATAATAGGAATATCTTTAAAACATCTCAGAGGCCGTTCCTTCCATAAACTACATTGGTCGACAACTTCACGTCTCCTATTTTGGTCGTGAAATGTACGGAGAAATAGTGTTTTGTTCAAACGCGTTCTTCCATGAGTTATCAGTGTCCCGAGTATTTTCCGACCATAAAAACATACATATGCGACCCCTATCGACGGAAAAAAGGGAAAGCTTATTACGAATTTGATTTGAACACGGCAAACTATCTTAAACATATGAAATTGTACTTTGATTTAATTTCAAATTCATAATGGATCTCAAAAACAAAACACTGCAATCAATTTATGAAATGAAATCAGAGAGCTACTTTGATTAGTGCTGCCACCTTTTCTCAAAGTAAATCATGGCCACAGTACGGCTAATGATCCAGATACCGTATGGCGTGAGAAACTCTGTCCGTCCATGAATAACTCACGGGAGACATCTAGCGGCCAAATTATCGTCCTCCAAAGTACGTGAACTACACGTCCACTATTTATAGAAGGAACGGCCTCTGTACATTTATATCTTTCAAGATGAAAAATGTCGTCTTATGCGCAATCTATGGTTAAGACAGGCTGATTTAGGCTGGGCCGGGTCAATCAGGGTTAGGTTAGGACAGGCTGGGTTAGGCTGGGCCGGGTCAATCTGGGTTAGGTTAGGACAGGCTGGGTTAGGCTGGGCCGGGTCAATCTGGGTTAGGTTAAGAAAAGCTGGGTTAGGCTGGGCCGGGTCAATCTGGGTTAGGTTTAGGTAAGTTATTGAACGATTAAGAAATCTTTTGTTAACAAACGATTTTCAGGTAACTAGGGTAGGTTTTGAAAACCTATCGTTTTTATTTCTTTGAGCAATCCGATTTGTTAGTTCATTGCTCCGAAATTGTTCAACAAAATTATATTTAATTGGTTTACAAAAACAATGCCCATGTTTAGCTCTTGCCATTTGTGTAATATTAAATCTCTGGTTTAAATGTTGAAATTAGTTTTTTTTCACACATTGAGAAAAAACTCCTTTCCACCAACTAATTAGAAGAACGAAATTGTACTTTTAAATCATAGAATTTAATTATCTAATTTATCTAATTTATTTCTACTTCGTCGGATACAATTTGAAATTCTAATTCTGTTTATATTTATTTCAAAGATAAACCAAACAACCAAAATATCAAATTAAAAAAGGAAAAAAGGAAAAATAAAATTGTTAACAACCTTTTTCCAGAATAGAGAAAACAAGCTAAAAGGATTGTAAAAACGTATACTGTCAGATAATCCCTATTAGTGTCATACATTTTTTTTGACCAAAAATATCACTTTTCTACCAAAAATATACCTTTTTCGACCAAAAATATAACCATTTTGACCAAAAATATAACAATTTTGACCAAAAATATAACCATTTTTAACCAAACCTATCACTTTTTTTAAAACAAAAAATATAACCATTTTTGACCAAAAATAGAACGACCAAAAACATAACAGACCAAAAATGAAAACATATTCGACCAAAAATAAGTTTTATCTGCCTTGTCAATGAATGCAAAGACTGCTCGTGGAAATGGATTCTTGATAATCATTTTTCTTAAATTGCAAAGTTTCTTCTATATTAACTAGAACAATCACTGTTTATTGATATTGAATAAAATTCAGAGGAATTACAGTCACGCATTAATAAAAATTTATTCTCATTATTAAAAAAGTGCAAAGTGGAGAAATTTCAGAGCAATACTTCATTGTTCATAAATAGTTTCAAGAAAACTGAGTACAATTTACGAAGCAAAACCTCCCCATGCACTTGTACAATGAAGGCGTACTGCATATTTGAAGTTTGTACTGAAGATTATAGGCCATAATCATATCCTTTAATATTAAACTGTCTTAAGTGTAAACTCAGGTTATATAGGCAAGTGCATTTTTATTTTACTAGGCTTTTAGGGCGCTTCGCTCCCATCTTCTATTTAAATTGTGAACATGTTCTTTTTGTTTACATTTTAAAACAAAGAAGAAAAAAATTTAGCGGATTTTTAAAAAGAAATTCGCGGATTTTAAAGAATTTTAAATTTTTTACAAAATTAAAAACCTTTAAAACACATTTTTTTTAATTTTTATCATTCATAAACCTTCCCTGTGGTCACGTGAAATCCCACAAAAAATTTGGGCCCATCGGTTCAGCCGTTTTGACGTTTATTGGATACAAAAAAACAGACAGACACCCAGACAGACAAGCCAAATTTATATATAGATGCAACTTTCAGAAAGTAACTATTGATAATTCTTAAATATGTAACAGCTTGCAAACAAAGTGTGAAGCTATTAAACGCATAGATAAATTGGGATATGTCCGAGATCATTAATTAATCAAAGGTTAAAGGGTACCCCAGTGTAAATCAGGGAATCGTAACATAGTCAACGAAAAAAAAGTTTCTAAAAAAACCTAGAAATAAAAACGTTGGTAAAAAAGTCCCAATTTTCTGACGTTCTAGGATAAAATGTCACTGGAAATAAAGTCCTGAGTTTTAGGTTCATGGGGTTCTTTTTTCCTTAAATGATAGGGGGGGGGGGACTGCCAATAAAGTCTCAGGAAATAAGATCACAGGAGTTAAAGTCCTGAATAAAAAAGTCCTAAGTCTTGTGAAGATGAGGTTAAGTCTCAAAAGGGACTTTTTTCTATGGATCTACATATTTAATATATCCAGGAGTGTTTTTAATATCAATTGCCCCTTTTTTTGCATGGTTAGCTCCTTTGCATTTACTACTATAATAGGACTTTATTCCAAGGGACGTTTTAGTATAATATGATCATCAATGTGCGCCCTCATTTATATGATATACTCAATGTGCGCCCTAAAAGTGTGTTCCGATTAAATTAGGGCAAATTCTTATTCATCCTCAGCTTTTGAACAACTAATTAAAAAACAACAATTTTATTAACATTAACAGGTTAAATATTAACAAAGATACGAACGGTTTGATTAAAAAATGTGTTCATCACTGATATTTAGTTTTTATTGTCAATTGTTTTGAGGAAAATTCTATTAATGTTGAATTAAGATTTGTTACGTTTTAACTTATGATTACTGTATTTACATAGTAAGAGAGCTTTAAAAGAAAGATAAGATGACGTTTTCAAAAAACTAAATTTATGTTTGTAAAGTTAAAAAAATTAAATTAAAATTAAACAAAATTTGATACTTTGATTATCATTTGATTTTTGCAACTCAATTGCTGTTGATTTTGACCAATAATGATGTGTTGAAATGTATAAATGTATCTATTTTCAAGTTAAGAAACATATATATATATATATATATATATATATATATATATATATATATATATATATATATATATATATATATATATATATATATGTATGTAAAAGATAAAATGCCCAGGCCTTATTTGTTTAGCATCAAAACAAATACAAAGTTCAAATATTTGATAAAAAGATAATTAAAAAAAAATATATTATTATGATAGAAAGCATTTACATTTGATTATCGTAGACAATAAACCTTTTCACGATTTACACATTTTTTATATTCACGCATTTCTCAAAAATATTTAATTTGGATTATTCTAATTTTGTTAAAATATAAAATTACAATGTTATTTTGTTCATCACATTTAGTTAGGTTTATCCAATTTGTACAAATTTTAAATTTTATCAAAATAGAAAGAACAAACTGTAACAGGTACATTTACATATATAACAGAAACTCCACAATTTTAAAAAACAAATAATTGTAAAATATAGATTTTTCCGCAGATCATTTCCATAAAATACTCGGAATTTAATTCTATGCGAGTTGAGAAAATATAATATTCTCTTTTTCAATTTATATTTTTATTTTATAAAAAACAACTGACATTTAATTTTATCTTAAACATTGATAATTTTTCAATTACAATTTGATTAGAAGAAAAGGGGGGAGGGGTAATTCAATTTTGATTAAAAAAGTTTACCCATTTCAAATCATAAAGGTTAAGTTATGTCTTCAGAAATAAACATTTAACAAAACTATTTTTCCATGTTCCCGTTTATATGTTTCATAATTTAGGTAGTAGCCGTCGAATTTTAGAAACAATTGAAACAATTTTTTATGCCTTTGGGTTCCCTCAAACAAAATTCAGCCAATTTGTCTAGCCGTTTGACCAGCTATAGCTAACTAACATTTATACAAATATATACATGAGCGAAAAGCTTTATTATTTAGATTCACAAATACATTGGCAAGTTTGGTGGATTTAAACAAAGGAGTTGCCACAAATTCAAATTTTATAATCCCTGTACCTGTGCAACCTGATGGTGTAAACTCTTGATGTTTCAAACTTAGATTATTTGATCTGACAGAATTCAAAGTTTGAAATATCTAAGGTCACTGGGTTTCAAAGATATAGGAATTAAAAAATAAAAGCTTGTTGCTTTTAAAACAAAAATTTCAGATATTTTTCCACAAAAATAATTCTGTTTTTTTTGAAAATGGTTTCAACTATTTTATCCTTTACAGGCTTTTTTTCTTCAGGTTAATCACGTTAGATCTCTTTATGGATTTTCATTTGCTTTTTGATGTGTATTTGGTTTCCGTTCTCAGCAATTATATGTAAATGTTTTCAGCAATGAAATATATCTAGTATTTGTAAATGAGGACGACTAAATGATTAATATTCAATTAGTTCTCATTTGCAGAAATTAGATCTATCTTGTTCTCAAGGCTGCATTTTTCTGGTTCTCAGCTCTGAATTCTTCCAGGTTCTTAGCAACGATATCCATCTGGATCTCACACACGGTTTCTATCTGGTTATCAGTAACGGTTTCTATCTTGTTCTCAGTAACGGTTTCTATCTGGTTCTCAGTAACGGTTTCTATCTGGTTCTCAGTAACGGTTTCTATCTGGTTCTCAGTAACGGTTTCTATCTGGTTCTCAGTAACGGTTTCTATCTGGTTCTCAGTAACGGTTTCTATCTGGTTCTCAGTAAAGGTTTCTATCTGGTTCTCAGTAAAGGTTTCTATCTGGTTCTCAGTAACGGTTTCTATCTGGTTCTCCGTAACGGTTTCTATCTGCTTCTCAGTAAAGGTTTCTATCTGGTTTTCTGCAGCGAGTTCAATCGAATCCTTAGCAGTGATCCCAGTCTGGTTTTTAACAAAGATTGTATATATATGATTCTGAGCAATAATATTTGTCTGATACTCAGCGAATATATTCTTCTGGTTTCCAGCACTAGTGTTCAACAAAGAAGCACTTCTGATGATCAGATTTCTCTAGTGTACCACCTCAAAGTTCAAACTCTACATCTCTGACTTGTTGATCATTTTGAGTACTACATTGATGTTCTATCTGTGCGGCACCTTCATCTTTATGAGCCTCAGGTTCATCCTCGACCTGTATTTCAGGTTGATTGTTGACCTGTATATCAGGTTGATCATCAATCTGAATTTTAGATTGATCATCGACCTGAACTTCAGGCAGATTGCCAACCTGAGCTTCAGGTTGCTCATCATCCATCATTTTAGGTTGATTGTCGACCTGAGCTTCAGGTTGATCATGAATCCGAATTTCAGGTTGATTTGGTACCTTAACTCCAGGTTCATTGTCGACCTGAGCTTCAGGTTGATTATCGACTAGTAATTCAGGCTGATCATTGACCTCTATTTCATGTTGATGATCTTTCTGACCTTTATGTTCATGATGTTTCTGAGCTTCAGAATGATGAGCTTGCATAGATTTAGGTTGGTTGTTGACCTGATCTCTATGTTGATCTGTTGATCTTAAAGTAGTTAGTTCCAGGGTCTGCTGTGGTCTTCCATCCTGCAGAGCTAGACCATCAGTTCCAATGCTCGCATCCATCTAGAGATATAATAATAGATATAATTTAGAGATTTAAGAAAAGGAATTATTTTTTTTTGTAACAACTCAAATTTCATAATCCGTACATCGTTGCAACCTGATAGCGTAAAGCTTTTATATTACAAATTTAGTCTACTTTATCTATCGAAAGTTAAAGTTTAAACTATCAAAGGTTTACAACATCGGGTTGAAAAAATATGGTGATTAAAAATCAGAGTTTGTGGCAAAAACAAAAAATCTTAATATTTACTAACTCGTTAATACATGACATTTGACAAAGAAATGAATTATCTTCAGCATTGTTAATCTTTCGATGCTTAAGGATGCTCACAAACAACTTCCAAACTTCGAACCCGATATTTGGACATTTTGACTTTTTTTCTTCACACGGAGGACACATTTAATATTATAAAAGCTGGAAAATAAAGAAAAATTTTCTTTTTCAATTTTTGGGATTTTTCATCCAATTACGCAAAAAAATCGACTTTTAATATAAGATTATTGATAAAGTTCATGACATTAATCCATCAAAAACAATGACCTCGCGTAATTTCACGAAACCAATTTTATCATTTTTTTATAAGATATATATAATTCACTATGAATATTATGTTTCAAAAACTCCTAAAAATTGCATGTTTTGATTAATTTTAAAAAGCATTACTTTTTTCCTCTAGTATTAAAGATAATCATTATTTAAACAGATGAAAACAGATAAAACAGATGTAAAAAGATGTGAAAAGATGTAAACAGATGTAACCCGATGTAAACAGATGTAACCAGATGTAACCAGATGTAACCAGATGTAACCAGATGCAAATTGAAGTAAACAGCTGTAAACAGATGTAAACAGATAAAACAGATGTAAAAAGATGTAAACAGATGTAACCAGATATAAACCGATGTAAACAGATGAAAACAGGTGTAAACAGATGTAAACAGATGTAAACAGATGAAAACAGGTGTAAACAGATGTAAACAGATGTAAACAGATGTAAACAAATGTAAACAGATGTAAACAGTGCAATGTATAGTTTCCGGGGTGTATACTGAATTTCAGGAATTTCAATATTTTTTGACATTTCAGATGTTGGGGCTAGACTCCTTGAAATGAAAATAATAGTTTTAACTTTTCTGTGGGGGGGGGGGGCTTAGAAATAAAGCCGCCCCTTCCACCCTCTATAACTAAATAAAAAGTTTTTCGCTTATATTAGCTATATGTAAGATTTTTTTAGAGAACCCATGATACCAAGCTTAAAAAAATAAACCTTGTTTCTTCTTCAAAACCGGGCACTTCAGCTATTCTATAATAAATTTTTACCTGAGGGTTTACTATCCAGCTAAACATGGAGATAAATTCTGCTCTGAACTGAGATCCCAGCATACAGTAAGCAATAAAGTTCACGCTAGAGTTCAACAGTGCACAGTACTAGGAAAAATAATATTTTTTTTAGATCCAAAAATCTATGCAACCCTATGGTTTTAATCTTTCATATTTCAAACTTTGGCCATTTAAACTTTATAAAAACAATATTTCTAAAATATCGCATTTACCACCTCTATAAGATTTTTCATATTTCAAAGCTTAAAGGGTTAAAAAACCAGCTGCAAGGTAGAAGGTTTTAAAAGTACCTGGGATATTATATCTGCTACTAGCTGCAAGGTAGAAGGGTATAAAAGTACCTGGGATATAGTACCTGGGATATTATATCTGCTACCAGCTGCAAGGTAGAAGGGTATAAAAGTACCTGGGATGTTATATCTGCTACTAGCTGCAAGGTAGAAGGGTAAAGTATTACCTGGGATATTATATCTGCTGCTAGCTGCAAGGTAGAAGGGTATAAAAGTACCAGGATATTATATCTGCTACTAGCTGCAAGGTAGAAGGGTATACTAGTACCTGGGATATTATATCTGCTACTAGCTGCAAGGTAGAATGATATAAAAGTACTAGGGATAGTATATCTGCTACTAGCTGCAAGGTAGAAGAGTATAAAAGTACCAGGGATAGTATATCTGCTACTAGCTGCAAGGTAGAAGGGTATAAAAGTACCTGGGATATTATATCTGCTACTAGCTGCAAGGTAGAAGGGTATAAAAGTAACAGGATATAATATCTGCTACCAGCTGCAAGGTAGAAGGTTATAAAAGTACCTGGGATAGTATATCTGCTACTAGCTGCAAGGTAGAAGGGTATAAAAGTACCTGGGATATTATATCTGCTACTAGCTGCAAGGTAGAAGGGTAGTAAATACGTTTGTTTGAGAAGCATTCCAGGATTGAGCTAACTTCAGTAACCTAGATAATATCATTTTGTGAAAACTAGATCATTTCGATATATCATTCTAGTTTATAACCCTATTCTCTATATATACATACTAGCGTGCCCAGCGTTAATTTTTGTTCAATTGAGTTTTGTAAACCTGTTACTAAAGGAACAGTATTGCGTTCTCCACTGAAACCCACTATTGTGTACTGCATCTGAAGATCACTGCAGTACACTGACCGGAAGCTTACTTCATGGTGAAAATATAAATATANTATTTTAATATTGATTTTAAAAAATATAAATGATACTTTAATTTCTCAATGTGTAATGATTTTAAAGGTTTGGAAGAAGAGTATGTTTTTATTTTTATTTTTAATTTTGTAATTTTAAAAATATTGAAATCCTTGACAATAAGATTTATCATTGTCCAAATATCTAAACCTTAATTTTTCCTAAACATATTTTAAAACTAGTTTCTGATCAGATTTGTTTTATTTTATTTTATTTTCAGAAAAAGTTTGTCATAAAATGTCATAAAATTCGAATCGGAAATCTGCAGTAAATGTTATCGAATAACATTTTGTCCAAAACATCGATAAACCCGGTTTTTTTACTTACCGTGGCCGTGTATTAAAATATTAATTTATGCAATATGCATTTTCAACTTTTTTGGTCAAAATGTTACAGGTAGTTTTTGACCATTAATTCCAAATCAGACGAAATAGGCCTAATTCCGAAACGACCAACTGTTTTCGTCCTACGATAGTCTAGATGCACAATTTAATAGTTTAAATGCACAATTTTATAGTTTAGATGCACAATTTGATAGTTTATATGCACAATTTGATAGCTTAGATGCACAATTTAATAGTTTAGATGCACAATTAATTTGATAGTTTAGATGCACAATTTGATAGTTTAAATGCGTACAATTTGATAGTTTAGTTACACAATTTTAAAGTTCAGATGCACAATTTGATTGTTTAGATTCGTACAATTTGATAGTTTAGATGCACAATTTGATAGTTTAGATGCACAATTTAATAGTTTAGATGCACAATTTGTGCTTACCTCAAAAATACCAATGGTTAGTCTTGGTGTGTTGAAGATGATGAAGATGAGAACCAAAGCTACAGCGATACGCGCCATTCTAAACAGATTAAACATTAGCGCTCCGCGCCATTCTAAACAGGTTAAATATTAGCGCTCCGTGCCATTCTAAACAGATTAACCATTAGCGCTCCGCGCCATTCTAAACAAATTAAACATTAGCGCCATTCTAAACAGATTAAACATTAGTGCTCCCCGCCATTCAAAACAGATTAAACATTAGCGCTCAGCACCATTCTATACATTTGTGTACCTATCAATCTAAGAATTCTATTGGTTTTCTTCCAGAAAATGTCATAAAGTTCCTGAGATATATATGTATGGTAAAATGTTCACGTGACAAATAATCATATAATATTATCCTTATGTACTAAGAGAACGGATATAGATACATAAGATACTTAAGTTATGACTTCCGTAAGAAAATATAAAAAAGAAAAGTACCTGAAGTTTTTGGCCTGTCTTCTCCTGCTGGTAATGAGAGGTCCGGTTGGGATAGAGGAGTAGATCTTGTAGTTCATAGTTCCTAAATAATACGTGTTAAAGGATAGAGGAGTAGATCTTGTAGTTCATAGTTCCTAAATAATATAATAATATGGGTTAAAGGATAGAGAAGTAGATCTTGTAATTCATAGTTCCTAAATAATACGGGTTTAAGGATAGAGGAGTAGATCTTGTGGTTCATAGTTCCTAAAAAATACGGGTTAAAGGACAGAGGAGTAGATTTTGTAGTTCATATTTCCTAAATAATACGGGTTAAAGGATAGAGGAGTAGATCTTGTATAGTTCATAGTTCCTAAATAATATGGGTTAAATGATAGAAGAGTAGATCTTGTAGTTTATAGTTCCTAATTAATACGGGTTAAATGATAGAGGAGAAGTTCTTGTAGTTCATAGTTCCTAAATAATACGTGTTAAAGGATAGAGGAGTAGATCTTGTAGTTCATAGTTCCTAAATAATATGTTAAAGGATAGAGGAGTAGATCTTGTAGTTCATAGTTCCTAAATAATATGGGTTAAAGGATAGAGGAGTAGATCTTGTAGTTCATAGTTCCTAAATAATACGGGTTTAAGGATAGAGGAGTAGATCTTGTATTTCATAGTTCCTAAATATAGGTTAAAGGATAGAGGAGTAGATCTTGTAGTTCATAGTTCCTAAATAATATATATCCTTTAAACTTTGGTTTCAATTTTTAACGGGGGTTTCGAAAGTGATTTACAATTTTTGATTTCCATTATTTCTACTGCATTTCTACTGCAGGAGGTCAGGAACATATTTTGGAACTGTCAGCATTAATTCACTTTTAAACCTAGAAAAACTGTTGATCAGGTTTTTGATCAGGTTTTAAAGGATGGCATTGTAATCTTTGCAAGGCAAGGGTCACCTGAAATTACGCTCAAGGGTTATAAAGGACACCATTGTAAATCAGGCATGACAACTCTATAATTTGTGGGTGCACGTGAAATTCCACCACGTTTAGCTTGTTGACGATTTTTTTAATTCCAGATCAGTGTTTTTAGAGATTGTTTTAATATTTCGCTAGAAGTGAGGTATAACCAATAGATCAAGGGATTGTAATATACATGTTTTCAGGTTTATCAGGATCTCAATTACATGTGTATATGTTCAATAATTATATTATGAATTCTTACCAAGCAGAATCAGTGGAAACAATCCCGTAGTAGAGAGAGGATGAAACGTCTGAAATAAATTATACAATCGAAATATGTAATTTATTTATACTATAGTCCGCGCCCATCATCGATTCTAAGCTTTAATAATTGATCATTTATTGATTTTTTTCCTGGATTTTGAAAAATCGAAATTTGTTTATTTCTAACTATCCATACACCTTTCCTGGAATCATGCGAGATCTTGAAAAAAAATTGGACCCGATCGGCTCAGCCGTTTTGACGAGAGGTTGCATAGAAAAGAGAAGTATTAGAAAGTAAGAGTTTGCGGCGAGAATCTTAATTTATCCTTTGAAGATTTCTTTAAATCAATTTAATTAGAAGTAAAAGATAATATATGCAAATTAGCTATTTTAATGTATGTAATATATGGGAATATATTTTTATTTTTTTTAAGCTCTCTACCAAAAAAGGAATAGTTAAACTATTTCCAAATATTTAGGTATGCTGATGTCTTTTTGCACTAAAAACGTAAAGGCTCTGTATTTCGAAAAGTTATATATTTTTGTATCTTTTTTAATTCAATGGCCATAATTAAAACGAAGACTCGATTATTTTCTCAAAACAAGATGAAATATACATAAACTACACAAGATGAAATATACATAAACTACACAAGATGAAATATAGATGAAATATACATAAACTATACAAGTTGAAATGTACAATATAAACTACATAAGATGAAATATACATAAACTACACAAGATGAAATGTACATAAACTATACAAGTTGAAATGTACAATATAAACTACACAAGATGAAATATACATAAACTACACAAGATGAAATATACATAAACTACACAAGATGAAATATACATAAACTACACAAGTTGAAATATACATAAACTACACAAGTTGAAATATACATAAACTATACAAGTTGAAATGTACAATATAAACAATTTAAGTTGAAATATACATAAACTAAACAAGTTGAAATATACATAATTTACATATAATGAAATATACATAAACTATACAAGTTGAAATGTACAATGTAAACTATACAAGATGAAATGTACAATATAAACAATTCAAGTTGAAATATACATAAACTACACAAGATAAAATGTACAATATAAACTACACAAGATGAAATGTACAATATAAACTATACAAGTTGAATTGTACAATATAAACTACATAATTGAAATATACATAAACTACACAAGATGAAATATACATAAACTATACAAGTTGAAATGTACAATATAAACTACATAAGATGAAATACAATATAAGTTGAAATATACATAAACTACACAAGATGAAATATACATTAACTATACAAGTTGAACTGTACAATATAAACAATATAAGTTGAAATATACATAAACTACACAAGATGAAATGTACAATATAAACTACACAAGTTGAAATATACATAAACTACACAAGATGAAATATACATAAACTATACAAGTTGAAATGTACAATATAAACAATATAAGTTGAAATATACATAAACTTCACAAGATGAAATGTACAATATAAACTACACAAGATGAAATTTACAATATAAACTATACAAGTTGAAATGTACAATATAAACAATATAAGTTGAAATGTACAATATAAACTATACAAGTTGAAATATACATAAACTACACAAGTTGAAATGCACAATGTAAACTATACAAGTTGAAATGTACAATGTAAACTATACAAGATGAAATGCACAATGTAAACTAATATAAGTTGAAATGTACAATATAAACTATACAAGTTGAAATATACATAAACTACACAAGTTGAAATGCACAATGTAAACTATACAAGTTGAAATGTACAATGTAAACTATACAAGATGAAATGCACAATGTAAACTATACAATTTATAATGTACAATGTATGTAAACTATATAAACATTAGAGTACTGTGCAATATGTGTACCTGGTACACGATCAGTAGCTTCAGCAGCCTAGGACCAAGCTGCTTTCCGGTCAGAAAGCTTACAATGAACCTAATAACCATAATTGAAAAATTGCAGATGCTATTACAAGCCTTGTCAATTGTCAAAATTAAATACTGAAATTTATGAAATTTTATATTGTTATGAAAATATCTATTAAACATTCTAAGAAGCATTTATCCTTTAACAAAAGGATTATTAAATTTTCTGAAACTTTTTGAAAAAAGTTTAAATTAAAATGACTGCATAATTGAATTAATAAAAATGAAATTAGTGTAATGAAAAATGTTATAAAAGATAAAAAAGATTGATAAATTAGTTAATAGATAAATAACGACAACTTTGCACCCTTTAAGCCCTTCAATATTAGTTTTTCTTATGAATTCTATAAAAAAATCTTTTTTTTTTTACTGCAACTTAAGCAATTACAGAATCTAAAATGATAGCTCTAACTTTGTCCAAAGACACATTTTTTCATGTTAAGTTGAAATTGTTACATTAAAAAAAAATTTTCCGCAATACACATAATGAAGTTTATTACAAGACTTTTGAACTTTTGTATTAAAAAAAACTTCAGAATTTATAATTAAATTTTAAACTTAGCTCTTGTTAAAAGGTGTGCATTTCTAAATTTTCTTGGAATATTGAAGACGAGTGCCAGTATAATACAAGGAACCATATTATCGATTGATTATACCTTGGAATATTGAAGACGAGTGCCAGTATAATACAAGGAACCATATTATTGATTGATTATACCTTGGAATATTGAAGACGAGTGCCAGTATAATACAAGGAACCATGTAGGAGAAAAGTGAAATATTATGATTCCTGGTGCTAGTTCGTCCATTATAGTTGTAGGGGCAGCAAACAGCCTATAGCAGTTAATGTAAGAATATCCAGGTTCAGAACTAGATTTGGGAATTCCTCCAACTCCCCCCCCCCTTCCAACCCTTGGAAATTGAAAGATGAAAATAAACAATGGCAAAATTTTCATATTTTTTCCTAAAAATTCAAAAAAAAATATTTTTATGTCTTTGAAACATATTCATGAAAATTGATAAAAAGTATCAGACCTGGTATCTTTCAATGGTTATGCTGACAGTGATAAAGACTGAGGCTGCAAGAGCAAAATGGCACCCACACTCAGAATATGCACTCATAGACCTGAAGTAGTTGTAAAATTTAAAATTTTTACATTTAATTTAAAATTTTTACATTTAATTTAAAATTTTTTTACTTTGCATGGATAAATAAAACTAAGTTGTATTATCAAAGGTAAAAATTACACTAAAATAATTTAGCAGTAAAATGTAAAATGCATTTGTGCATTGATGAAAAACTAAATTGTATTTTAAAAGGCAGAAATTGCACTAAAATGATTTGTACTTCAGCGCTCAAATAGTTTCTATCCCCTTTAAACCATTTCCTAATTTTCTCTTGATGGATGTCCAGTATATCCACAGAATTAAACCCAAATCCCCAAATTAAAGTTCAAACTGTGATATCGATTATCTCTAACAAAATGGTCGTCCTCTAGTCCCAGTGTATGATACCTGATCTGGACCAGTACAAAGCATTTACTGGTACCAGCACATACGTAGCTCTGTACACCAGTCCAAGGTAGCATGATCCGGACCAGTACAAAAGCATTTACTGGTACCGGCACGTCTGTAACCTGTACACCAGTCCAAGTTACCATGATCCAGACCAGTACAAAGCATTTACTGGTACCAGCACGACTGTAGCTCTGTACACCAGTCCAAGGTACCATGATCAGGACCAGTACAAAGCATTTACTGGTACCGGAAAATCTGTAGCTGTGTACACCAGTCCGAGGTACCATGATCCGGACCAGTACTAAGCATTTACTGGTACCGGCACATCTGTAGCTCTGTACATCAGTCCAAGGTACCATGATCCAGACCAGTACAAAGCATTTACTGGTACCGGCACATCTGTAGCTGTGTACAACAGTCCATGGTACCATGACCCAAACCAGTACAAAGCTTTTACTGGTACCGGCACATCTGTAGCTCTGTACACCAGTCCAAGGTACCATGATCCGGACCAGTACAAAGCATTTACTCTGTTGATATGACCTGAAGAGTTTAGAGTTGAATGCTGATGGTGCCATCGCTAGGTTGGTCAGGATAAACAGTAGGTCTGCTAGGCATAGGAATGCAAGCAGATGGTGAAACACGTTTATCATTGATCTAAATTAATAAAATTATTATTATCATTTTTGTTATTATCATTATGAAGTGCAAGTAAATATAAAATTAGTATTATCATTTTTGTTATTATTATTATGGAGTGCAAGTAAATAATGCAACACATCTATCATTGATAATTTTTATTGATAACGCTCAGTAAGAGAAATGAAAGAAGATGGTGAAAAATAAATATCATTGATCTTAAACATTAGAATTATTTTTTATGTTTCTGTTTCACAAGAAAATAAATCTGTTATCCCAGAAATAGTGGGTCATTTTTTAACGAAAATTATAGAAATCATTCATTGGCTAACTAACATTATTATAAATAATAAGATTAATCTAGAAATAAATATTTTGGAACAAATAAAAATAATTTGATATTTCTAATTTAAAGGGACTGAGACGCACTTTCAAGTCCTCCATGCGAAGATGGCATTGTCAAATACGAATGCTTAGAAAAATTATCGATGATTGTAGGTTGTAATATTTGAATGATGTGTTGGAATTAATTGATTTGTTTACGATCCAATTCGTATGAATATATATAGATAGATATATTTATTGACTCAAAGAAGTTCGTAGTAAGATTTCGATTCTACTGGAGACCACCGGAGGGATTTTATTTTCACTGGAGGGGTTTCAAAAAATGGTTTTTACAATTTAAAACTTTACGCAGGGTGATTTACATTCCACTGGAGGGATTCAGATAGCCTTCCTAGGGGTTTATAATTCCACTGGAGGGATTCGGTTATCCTTCCAAGGGGTTTATAATTTCACTG